GCCACAGGTCAGGAAAATGGGCAGCACCCAGGACTGTGGGTAGTGTTCAAAGGAGACTCTCCCTTGGGTGATCTAACACTTCAGATGCAGCGCGGGTTTTCTCCACCGACTGACATTGTCAGGAGGGCCAAATGGATTTTCGACATTTTTAGGACAAAAATAGAAAACTCTTAAATTAATTCATGACTACTATATATATCTCACCTGAGATGTTTAAACCCTTTGCTCTCCGAACCATTCTGGACATTGGCTACCAGCTACTCGATGCTACTTTGAGGCGGAAACTCAATTGCCCGTAATCACTAATAAACTGCAATCTCCCCTGAGAGGGGACATCCGAATGATATGCTAGAATTCCGATGTCCCCTGACAGGGGACAGCGGAGTGCAAAGGGTTAAACTCATACCAAATGACTGAAGCTGGATCTCACATGTACAGTGTTAATGCAGGGCAGGCAGGAAGGCATGTAGAGAGGTGCCAATGCAAACTCCATGTCAGAATAGTCATGCTTGCATTAGACACACACACACACACACACACACACACACACACACACACGTATTTGTTATGTAAGTGACCAAACGCATCTGAGCCACAAACTTCTCATCTGTTAGATGAAGGGAATAACAATACTTATAGGGATGTAATAAGGATAAAATAAAGTAATATATGTAAATCGAACTCCACACAGTGCCTGGCATGTAGGGAGTGCTTATTAAATGGCAGCAAGTGTCTTTACCTTAATTAAACCTTATTTATGAAATCTGACAATGTACTACTTCCTTTGCTATTATAACCCATGGAAGATGATATTAGAGATAGGTGAGATATTACCGATGCTATGATTCTGTGTACTCATTCTGTTGATGAGAAAACTGAGGCACAGAAAGGAGACACAGTAATCCTAGATATACATGGAACAGGCTCTAATACTCAGATCTTTAGAATCTATGTACAGTGCTGATATATGCAAAGAGAAAGACCTTAGGACTCAGAACATCCAGGTTGGCTGCTTCCACGAGAGAGTCATACAGTTTAACCATCTCAAAATGGATATAAAAATAGCCAAATTGAAAATGTTATAGCAAGTGAGATAGAATACATAAAAGCACTTTGTAAACTGCAGAATGTTACATAACTGATCCTTAATATTACGATTTCTTCTTCTTTAAAAAATGCAGGCAAACATAGACCCTAGACACATATAATCCTCTCAAAGTACCATTCAAAATTCTTTTGGATAATTTTTCATGGCACAGGGTCTAGACCAGGTCAGATTCCAAGTGTGACCATTCGCTCTCTGTTCTGTTTCAATTCTCATCACTCTCAAAAGCGGCACCTTGGACAGAAGCCAGAGTCTCAGGGCACCTGCAACATTCTCAGGGCACTTTCTTACTGGCTGCAAACCACGGTTGCCTTGCATTGCGACCCCCACAGGGAGGCACACATAGGAACCCCATCTCCTTTCCAGCCTTACAGACTGCAAGTTCAGAAGACAGATATCCATCCACATGGAACCAGGGCTTTCTGTGACCTTCCCTGTTAGACCTGGGTACACTGACGGACAGCTTGCCGCCTGCTCTAGGAAGCGAAAGTTGGCATTGTCATCTGTCTGCCTACACACGAACTGCATACATTTCAGGGCTTAGAAATATTCCAGTGGATAAATTTATACTGAAGCACAAAGCACGCCCGCTTGTGAACTCTGTATGGCGTGGCAATGCCAGCCAGGGCCATAAAACCAGTTTCAAAACCACAACAAAGACATTTGAAAATATGAGTGTTAATTTGGAATGAGGGAAGGGAAGGTGAAGAAGAACGCATGGGTAACACGGGAAATAACTGCAAATCTAGTTTTAAGGGAGAAAAAGCCACCAATTTGCCATTTTACCAATTCACATAGAGAGTGTCCCTCAAGGTCACAGGAAACAGGAGAGGAGAAACACAGTTTTGGAACTTAAAAGTGCCTTCAGGGTGAGCTTATTATATAAGCGATTCTACTAAGAGCCATTGATTTAGTGAGAGGCTTTATTTTGTGACTTTATTACAAATTGTATTTGAAGATCAATTTCTTTCACAAATTAGTGTGAAACGGAGGGGAGCTTGCCGAAAACGATAGAGCTGCTATAAATGTATAGACCCGTCTTATGCCAACACATTTTATTTGCTCTTGAAGCATAATTTCAAAATTATAAAGCACGGGTTGCTTAATATGAATGACTTGGTAAGGTACCAGGACCCCAAACTAGATGCCACTAAAACAGCAATCTGACTCATGATTCTGTTTATATATTGCTCAATTAGTTTTTAAAAATAAGGACATGTTTCAAGAGGCACTAAACACCTGACTCAAATTCAGCCCCAATACATGGCATCTTCACCCATTGCTAGGATTACTTTTAAAGCGCGCTTTTGACAAATGTTAAAGGGAAAGAGACCTCAGGAACACAAAACGCTTGCTGTTTGCTTAGGTTCGAGGTGGTGCTTGTGAGTGGGGGAGGGCGTAGGGGAAGGTCACAGACATTGCAAAATACAAGCCAATACACATGTCACATCTTACCTTCTGGGCTCTGGGTTTGCCTGAGTTTTGAAATCTTTTCTTCTTTTACTTTCCTTTTTTGTGTCTTTTTTAGCCTCTGGTTCAGATGGGGAGGGGGTTTTGCTCCCTTCGGGGTCTGTGTGTGGTGGCAGCCCACTAAGGTACACATGCATTTGTTGACTTTGGAGAGGGGGTGTTGGCACGGGGCATGCACAGAGGGTGGCCAGGACAGGAGAATCAAGAGCCCACACACATGCACAAACAAAAGAAATAAAGAGAAGGATGCATCAAACAGCAAGAGCAAATGCATTCGAACCAAAATAATAAGGAAAAAAGATGCAAACTTGCATAAGGAAAAATCAGAACTGAAAAGAAAATAAGAAACCCCAAACTGTTTCCATGACAAGATGTATAAACCTAACTGTGAAGCAAGTGGCAGTCTTACAATATGAAATCCAGACAATGTGTATCATAATTCATGATGATGTTTACCAGGGAGTTTACAACAACACTTCATTATTTTATAACACTTTCTTATTCAGTAACATATGTAGAATACAGTGTGACAACCCAGAGAATATAATGCAACTTCTCTCTCTCTCAAGAATTCAGTCCAAGAGGCTGTAACAGATAGTCATCAAAGTGTACATATTTATAAAAAGCAGAATTATGCGCAGATACGTCTCAGGTACCAGGTTTTCAAAAATATCCTTTGTGCAAATAAAAGGTCCTATGCAGGGCTAGTGAACCTGACAATAATGGCAGATGATAAAAACCTGATTGCCTGCTAACTATGCAAACCTACAATGCTATTGTTATCTAGCTCTAAATGCTAAAGGTGTGTTTGATAAAATCCACCCCCATTAGAGGGGAAAAAAAAGGCACAGAACAGATCCCACGGACATTCCTGAGTTGCATAGCTTGCACACATGAACATGGCTGACATGGTTCTGACCAGAAATAAATGCAGTCAATTCAGGATTCCCTCACATGAGAATTTCTCAAAGCAGCGACCTTTGCATCAAGGGCCGGGCTTCTGAAGCACCTAGCTCCCCCTGGGGGTGCCTTCCCTGGTGCCCTGGGGGGTGCTCTGGGGTGAGGCAGGCTCGTCTTTGCAGCCATGGGAGGCTAGTGCATTGGGCTAGCAAACTGGCTGTGGCAGTGTTGAAATGTATTCCACGTCTTCAGAGCCAAATGGAAACGTTCTTAAATTATTTGCTGTTTTGCATTATTCAGAACTTGGATCTCTTCCTCCAGGAGCTGGGCAACGTCTAAAGGAAGAGAGTACTTTGTACAAAGTTAGGAGAACGGAGGCTTTGGTCTTGTCTATAAAACCTGTAAAATGAGCCGAAACCAGTTTGGCTCAGTGGATAGACCGTTGGTCTGCGGACTGAAAGGTCCCGGGTTTGATTCTGGTCAAGGGCATGTACATTGGTTGCGGGCACATCCCCGGTAGGAGGTGTGCAGGATGCAACTGGTCGATGTTCCTCTCTCATCGATGTTTCTATCTCTCTATCCCTCTCTTTTTCTCCTCTCCCTTCCTCTCTGTAAAAAAAAAATCAATAAAATATATATTAACCCCCCCCCCAAACCTGTAAAATGAGGGGGCTGCTCATGCGGTGACCTCTGCCGTTCTCCCCAGCTCCACGGCGACACTGACGGCGCTGTGACTCTCTTTGCCTTTCAGCGTCCCCTGCGTGTGCCAGCTCTTGAAATGGACTCGGCTACCTCCCTGTGCAGGGCATTTGCACAAGCTGCTCCTTTTCCCTGGAGCTGTTCAGCTCCTACGCTTGCTTCAGTTCTCAGCCCGAGCATTGCTCTGTCCGGGAGGCCCTGCTGCCGACCTGCCACTCCCTGGAAGTCCTGTTCCTTTAGTAAGTGCTGTCATGACATCTTACCCCTTTTTACTCAGAGCACGGATCTTGTGTCCCTCTGCCCTTGTTCCGTGTTTAGTTCCTGTTCATCCTGCATGTTGAATGTCTTCCAGAGTGCCTGACACTCGGTGATCATTTAGTCTTTATAGAAAGAGTGATGGTAATAGCAAGGCGGACCTTTAACCCCTCGCCAGATCCCAGACAGGTGCTGCGCCCTTTCTGTGCCCTTGCATCCTCTCATCAGCCATGCGAGGACATGACTGTCCTGTTTACAGAGTGAGAACTGGCACAGAGGGTACCACACTACCACCAGGTCATTGGTAGCAAGTGTAGGGGCCGTGATCTAGACCTGGATGGCTCTCACTTCACAGACCCCCTCCAAGTCCCTGTGCTGCTTCCTGTAAGTCTCTGGAAGGAAAGGAGAAGAACCCAAGCTAGGCCTGTGTGTTCTGTGTCTGTGTTCTGTGTCTGTCTGTGTGTCCCCCTGAGAGAATGGGGGAGGGCAGAGGGTTGGCGGTGACCCTCAAAGCAGGACCAGGCCTAAGCCAGGAACATGACCTTGAGGGGTCTCTGCGGCGGGCGCTCACCTGTTCCCGTGGACGTGGGATGCGCAGAAGGCAAAGCTGTAGTGCAGGAGGGTGGGGTCGATCATGGCTCCGTTCTCCGCCCGCTCCAGCAGGTCTCGGAGGTAGCAGAGATGCCGGTGGCAGCCTCGGACTCCGTTCCGGGCGCAGTACTCATCGAGCACAAACACCTGCCCGGGACTGAACCAGCCCTGTGAGGGGGAATAGAGGAGAGACTTTCTTTTAAATACGGGTGGTTGTAGTCCTTCGGGAGGGCTACGAGAGCTGGGGGAGGGTGAGGGTTAAAAATAGCCCGAGCTGATTGCTCAGCGAGTGCCCGCTGTGGCACTAACCACTGGGTGTGCTGTCCGGGGTAACCTCAGACCAGCCCCATGTGCACGTGCTGGTAGCCCTGGTGATGGGTGGGGACTCCAGTTCTGGGAGCACATGGAATTTCCCAGAATCCCAGAGCTAGTGAGTGGAGGTGTCTGATTAGCAGAAAGCATGATTCCAGAGGGGGTCTTCCACTTCCCAACACTGATCTGTACATCGTAGGAGAGTGCTGGTATGGGCATGGGGCAGTCTCCATCACTGACAAGAAAAGTAAAAACATGAATGCCTTAACATGGGACAGTGCTCCCTACTTGGCAAGGAGCTTTCAGCGGAGCCCCAGGGCAGGCTTGTGGGGGAGACAGGGCAGATTCATCTTTGTTCAACTGATGAGGAACTGGAATCAGGGCTAGTGAGTGACTCACAGACACCACCAACAGAGGCCGGACTCAAACCAGCTCTGTCTGACTCCATGTCTCCTGGTTTCCGTACTCTGGAGCATTAAGCTATACTGTGACTGGCCTATCTGAGTACCAGGACTTCATAAACCCTCCACTTTGGAAGCAAACATTTGGGGGGAATATAGTCAATAATATCGAGATAACTATGTATGATGCCAGGTGGGACATCCTTGTCTAACTACTATACTGCACCTCAGAAACACATACAGAATATATTGAATGCCAGCTGTCGTTGATTTTTTAAATAATGATGATACTTTTCCAAAGAGAATAACATACTAAGTTTTGAAGTAGCGAGTTAAATGGAGAGGAGCTTTTGCCTTAGCCCCTCTATTTGTCTTATTATTTATTTGTTTGCTAAAGGACCAGGTGAAACTCTGCCATAAAGGAGAATCTCCTATTTGAGCAAAATGAGAGGCACTAGGCATGCAAGAAAACAGATGCTCAGAGAGGCCGAGGGACTTGCCCTTCAAGGTCACCGTGGGGCCAGCCTGAATCATGACTGACTACTTTTGGTTTCAGTACTTTTCTGAATCAAGAAATAAACCACTTTAGGTGGCCGTTTGTGAGCTGGGGACTTAGGGTTGTTTTAAATATAATTTTACTCGGAGGCTCTTCTCTGAGTCACCTTTTGAATACTGCTTTGCCTCGGGAGGGAAAATGCAAAAGGAGGAAGTGACGGGGTGCAGGTAGAGGCCACAGAAGGGCAATGAGGGAGGCCCCTGCAGCCCTTGGCTCTCATATTAGTGATCTGCAGACGCTTCCCCTGACAACATGCAGCTCAGCAATGCATCCAACGAGACGGCATCTTTCCTATTTCAAATGATAAGTTACTGCAGAGGGCGGGAGAGTAGTCGAGGCAGTGGGCTGCCCCTATAGGCAACTTCTTTGCCACTCCATCTGCTACCCCAAATGCTAAATCTCAGAAACAACACTGCTGTGAAAGATTAAAATATATTTTCTACGACTCGGATGACACCACGTCTTTTGTAGATGCCAAAATAGCTGCTTTGAAAAGAGTTGAAGAAATATCAATTAGGAACTCAGTCGAAGACACAGAAAAATTTATGTATCCCTGCTGGTCGGTCTCCAAAACTAACTGAAATAAAAAGATTGTAATAATGAGAAAATGGGATAGAGAGGCAGGAGATAGGGCTTTTTAATTGCTGTTATTTTCTGAAACTTTGGGATGATGATTAATAGATATAGGTATGCAAATGGGGAAGGAAACAATTTTATGCTATTATAATTAATTCTGGATTTGGGAGCATATTTGCAAGCTTATACATGACTAATAGAGCACAGTTTCAAAATCAAAATTTTATTTCTGGTTTATTTATTTAATTTTTTAGAAAGTCAAGTCTCCTTAGTGATAAATTTCTCAGTGAAAAAGAAAATTGGCTTAAAAAAATGATGATGTAAAAAAAAGTCCTGAAAATAATACAGCTCAAAATTTTTTTTTCAAGAGAATAGAAATTATATGTGAAGATAATGAGTAAAGTTCAGAGGCATATTCTTACAAGTTTCATGTGTGCAATTTATAATTACACAAAAGATCACATAATCGTTGGAAATACATTAGAGAAAAATTGCCTTGCAATGCAAGGTAAGCTCCCCCCCCCCCCCCACTTTAATGTTTTTAAAGTGAAAATGATATTTTCTTTTCCAATTTGGCAAAGTTCAGATTCTTCTGGTAAAGTGATTCCAAACCTGAGATAATCAATGCATCTTTTATGAGATGTAGATCAATAAATTATTCCACATAATACTGCTTTGCTTTTTAAGACTATTTTATCTACTATTTTTAATATTTTGGTCTCGGCTACAGAAAAAAAAGAAAGAGTTTAAAATAAAAATTAGTTGGAATAGATTTAGGATGTAGCTGTGCCACTTAAAAAGGGAAATATTTTCATTATATGTATGTTAGTATCCATGATATGTTAAGTATATCATATTAATTACTTAAGGATCTCACATTAATAATATGCAGATATTATCATAAACCTAGGAGCAGAGATGAGGCTTTTCCTCTGTGTAAAGTCATTTCTTCATTTCCCTCACCTTTCCCATCTATATAGTGGAATTCATAACATTTACCTTTTAAAAATGAAGTACTTTATGGTTTGCAGAAGAAAAGAAATTGGGTCCTTTTTAGGCTTCCAATTTTGATAATACAAAGCCACAAATGTCTCTTCAGACATAGCAGTGTCTTGAATTTAACCGATTTAAATCTGGGCTTAAAACAGAATTGCAAGAGACATGCTCCATTGCTGGGAGCTGGACTTCCAAACGCCTAATGCGTCATAAAGACTCCCCTCGAAGGATGAAATGCTCTAAATGCCACTAAGAAAAAGAAGCCACCCACCCAAACCAACCCAAACCAGTTGAGCTTATGCAGAATCAAGTGGAGTTTATGTGCAAATCACTTCAATCTTTCAAAAATAAACAGAAGGGACACATTCCCTTCGGAGACAGGAGCACAGGGTCTTATCCGGGATGGGAAGGCAGGCGGATCTTAAAGTCTAGAAACCCAGTCGGGTTTTACAAGTTCTCCACCAGCAGATGCCAAACTCGGTTCCCCTCTCAGGAATATTTCTCATGTAGCAGCTGAAAAGGGGGAAGCTCGGATACGGAGGCTGGGGAGTTGGATCGTCTCTACTGACAACTTCCTGCCGACTCCTTTCTTTGGGAAGGAAAAACTATCCCGACCCAGGAAATCAAGGACACATTTATCATTGTCAAAGGGGCTCTGTCCTGGAGAAAAGAGAGCTTCTAACAGCAAGGTAAAGAAATGTTTCATTAAAAAAAAAAAAAAAAGTCATCGTGTTTAAATTGCTGTAGACCAAAGAATATACTTGCCAGGCAAGAATAGGAATCATTAAGTCTGTGATCCAAAGTAAGGCGTTGCACCATCTCAAAGAGGGAAGCGTGGTCAAAGTTACAGGGGTTGGACGAGATAAATTCATCCATGCCATGCTTTTGAGCTCTATCTGCGTCTGTTCATTTATACATGTGGAGAGAGACACAATTTAGAGAAACACATCACATTTTTTTTTGACATTTCAAACACACAGGAATTCACTAGGCACTACAAATGCTAGCTGTTTCCCGACCCCTCCCACCAGCACCCGCCAGATAGTCTTTCCACCTTCCCATTGTCAACTTGCATCACTTACTGGTGAGTTTATTGCATGTAGGCAAGAATATATTGGCATCAATGTGTTTATCAAATGATCACAACTCCAGTGCCTTTATGCCGTTCTTTACAGACTAAGCACACGACCGTCACTTCACCTGCTTTTCACCGAACACTGAAAGCAGATCGGATCTTTGCTTCCAGAAGCCTATTGAGCTCTGCAGGTTTTGAATAGATTCTGCCATTCCAGTGGTTATGTCTAGAGCAATTTCTCTACAATTGTTGGGATCATATGGGAAAGGGTTAGGCTGATTTTCAGCGAAGTGACAATATTTGGATCCACCCTTCCAAGTCCCCACTGCCAATTTGGTTTCACAAAAAGGTTTGGGTCCCCACCCTCTAAAATTAAAAAATAATAATAATAACAATAACAACAAAAAGATTTTTATTGAAATCTGGAGAATAAGCTAAAAGGGACTTAGTTTGGGGTAGCCTTTGCCTGGGTGTACTCAGCTAGCAAAGCTTATGGAAGAGACAAGCCAATGCACTTGGCAAGGGCTACAATCTGCCATTTATTGTGAATTAATAATCTCAATGTATTCACACCTTCCCTTACAGGGCAAAGGCTGTAGGCAAAACCTCCTAGGGGCTACCTAATTAATCTCAATATGTGTAACAAAAATACTCTACACTCCATCGGCAAAAGAACGCAGAGAATCCAAGCAAAGCCTGACGAGGTAGGAATGAAGGTCTGAGGCGTGAAAGGAGTCAGCTCACTCCTCCTCACACTGATTCTCTCTCCTGATATGCAGACTGTGGAGAAAAGGAATCTTGTTTCACATTAAGCAAAAGTCTTCATTCCCTGCCTGCTCTGTTCTGCGTGTGGGGGCCTGCCAGGGACCAGGAACGCTGTCAGGGCACAGGGAAAATCGAGGTTGGACTTGAGAGGGTGTTTGGGTAATATTTTCATACAGGGTCTTCCTTCCAGGCAGCTTTGTCCCCCTCCTGTGCTTGGGGAATGGCTGAAAACTTGGGTTCTGCTAGCAGTGTGACTTTAAGACGATGGTTTAAGATTTATTTAAAGTGATGATTTCTCCTCACATTATAGATTTTGTGGATCTAAACAATATATGCATGGAATGTTAGGTTTATGCCTCCTTATTGTCAGGATTTCCAAGTCTTCAGTCATTTTTCCACAGAAGCAGCAAGTGGTCAGTGTTTGAGCAGAGTGTGCTGTGTATGCCCGAGACGCCCAGAAGCGACTGTTTCCAGCAGGCACGTGAAGAACGAGGATTTTAATAGCCAAACCGCTCTGTTCGGAGGAGAAAACCCAGGCTTCTAGAGGGAATATCGCATGTGCAGGAATTATATGAGAGGATCTGAAAGAATCCTCTTGCTGTGTTAACTGTCAGAGTTGTATTCAAGGAAGTGCTTCCATGTGAGGTGAGGGGCTGTGTTTAGGAGGATTCTTTTATCTGGTTGTTTGGTTTCAAAGCTACTTTCTCCCTTGACTCTGGGTGGTTGGCAAGAGAGGTGGCCAAGAAGTTGGTGCTGGGGACAAAAGCTGGCTGCTTCCAGTGCGTGCCTGCATCTGTGTGTGTGTGTGTGTGTGTGTGTGTGTGTGTGTGTGTGTGGTGTGTGGTGGGTGGTGTGTGTGTGTGTGTGTGTGTGCTTCTCTGGCCGAAGACAAGTGTTTAAAGCTGCTCCGACTTCAGGTCCCTCCTATCCACAGAATGGCATGCCTGCAGTCCAGGGGTATCTCTGCATCGCTCAGCTCCATCCTGTCGGCCACTTTAAATCAGGAGAGACTCACGGGGGAGGGGGCAGGAGGGGGGGAGGGTCTGTGTGCATGGATGGCTCCTCCGGTGGCACCCGGCCTGCCTCCCCGTTGGAACAGACAGACAGGCCTTTCTTAAGTAGCACAGCCTCCTGCTCTGGGATTTCTCAGGAGTCTGAAAGCGGATACATCGGCCCGGCCCTTTCTCTGCCAGTTTGGCTCAGCTCTTTTATCGCTCCCCAATTATGCTGGTGCCACCGGTTATTTAGCTCAAAGAGAAGGGGGCTCTTCTGTGGCTGTTAGAAAGATGGCACGTGCCCTACGTCTCTTAGTCTTTCTTTTTGGGTTGAACTACTCGCAAACTTCGCGATGAACTGTTTCGCCTGCTGCCCACTCAGGAAGCGGATCTGCAAAGGCGACTTGGCTCCCTCGCAGAGACCTGGCTGCAGATCCCCACGCCGCCTCCCCGCCCACCGCAACGCGGCTTCACCTGCCAACTCCCAGCCCGGAGCACATCTGAGGAGCAGTCCTGCTTTTATGTTTCCAGCCCGGCTTACCGAAAAACAGGCTGTGGCTGGGTTTCTTTTCAGACCTCCACATACAGATTCCTTTTCCCACCCCCCTTTCTTTTCTCTCTCTGGGCCCTCCTGTAGAAAGAGCCTGGGATGGATGTGGGGGTCTAGATTCAAGTGTAAGCTCCCCTACAGAATAGCCGTGGGCTGCCGGCTGAGAGATCTCGGACCCTCCGCTTCCTGTGTGCAAACTGAGCTGAGCTTTCCGCTCCCTTTCGGCTGCCACTGTCGTTTGGCCACCTTGTGATACCTACACACATCTTCTACATGTGTGGGATGGAACTTAATGGAGCGGTGATTTCTAGCAAGCCAAAGGAGCAGCCTCTGGATTTTGCTGAACACAAAATCGTCATTTACTCAGAATCAGGCTCCTAACCTTAATAACGGTTCCAACAACTCAAGAGCACTTACAAGGGTGGCTGGCTCCCGTGGAATCTTTGAGAGTTTCATTGAGCTTGTTATGTTCAGAAAAGTGAAAGAGGAATGCCATTTTAAGATGTCAGTGGAAGGGATCTGATTTTTAAGTTTCTTTCAAGAAGGGATTTTGTGTGTGTGTGTGTGTGTGTGTGTGTGTGTGTGTGTGTGTTGTGTGGTTGTACTCACTATATTTCCAGAACCTAGACTAGTCCCTGGCACATACATATTAATATAATGAGTTTATTTCATCAAAATAAATAAATGCACTCCTTCAACAAGTATTTTCTATTTCTTGATTCCTTGGAATGTTGACATGCCACATTCAACGGGAACAAGTTTATTGAAGCTAAAATAGCAGGTGGCTAAGGGGGTGGGCTTCGGGGTTCCCAGACTGACTCTGAGGCCAGCTCTGCCTTGAAGAGTGTGACACGAGGCAGGTGGATTCGTATTTCTGAGTGCCATTTCCTCACCTGTTCGCTGAGCTTAGTGTGAGTCTCCCTCAGGGGGCTGGGGAGAGGCTGGAGGAGAAGGGCTGGGAAGCGCGGGAGCCTGGCACAGGGTAGGTGCTCAGTGCACTGTCCCTGCGAGGGAATGCACAGGCTTCTGTGTGCTCCCGAAGCCATCCTGTTCATGTGCTCAGGGAGTGACGGCTGCCTCCAGCTGAAAGCTACTGTGAGCCACAGGTTGCTCCTTAAACTGTTTCCTGCTCTGAAGCTGGGAGTGCTCTCCAATCACTCCGCTTGATGCTCCTCCTGGCCCCTGCATAGCCAATGCCCAGATCCTGTCTTTGTGTTTTCGCTGGGGTCGCTCCAGTTTCTCTGCGGAGTCCCTTGGTGGGTGATAGGTTCCTTGCGGGTAAGTTTCTGATTCTGTAACTTCCCCTGCCAGCCTCCAGAGGAGCTGCCCTTCGGAGGTGCTCGCTAATGGACTTATTCTGACACTCCTGCCCCACAACACTTCCCCACCGACTTGAATAAGGAGTCACACACATGGGGATTCAGATGGCATCTTGCAAATCCCAAAGTGGGAACATGTGCTCTTAGGGGGGAAAAATCTCATAGGAGGAAACAGAATTGTAGGTGCAGGTGTCTTTGGCTACCGTTCAGACTGTCTGCCTGTGTCTCCATACATGTCTAGGACCATATGCATTACATATGTTGTCTATTTTAAAATAAAACACTGCAGTGGTCCAGCTGTTCCAAATTCTGTTTCAAAGAACTTGTGGGTGCTTCCCAAGCAACACCATATAGTCATTCTTACACTGTCCCAGACTGTTCTCCTCCAGTGCCAAACATTAAAAATTAAACGCTCTTTGCAATCCCATTTCCCCCTCTACAAACAAATGGATTTGGTAGATTAAAAAAATAAAATAAAACTCCAATGTTGACATTAACAAGGGGGAAATAGCCCAGAGACAAAGTGTAAGAAAGTTAATTTTTGACTTCAGGACACCTTGGGATCACTTCCTTTGCCAATGTTTGGCAGGTGTCAACAGAAGGAACATGGATTTTAACAGTAGGGGTGAGCAAATGAAAGAACTAGGAGAGTGAAGTGTCTGTATTATCCCTTGCTTTAGGGAGATGCATACCCATGCTCTTATTATTACTACTATTCGTCATCATCATTATTGTTATTTAGAAATCAAAGATTGACGGCTGCATTTTACGGATTGACTTTCATCTTTGCCCTTTACCTTTTCCAGCCCTGGTTGGGCAGCTCCTAAGCTGTGCTGGATTGGCAAGGGCTCCAACTGTACTGCAATGGGCAATGCAACTGTATAGGACCTGCAGCTCGGGCATAATCCAACACATCTTTCAAAGGATGCTGCTTGTTTTACTTCTGGGAGTTAACCGCATCAGGAGTACAAAGTCCTTTATAGCCTGGGTAGGAGACTGACTTCAGACTAAACTTAGATGGGTAAAGCTGGCACTGGCACCTAACTGCACTCGGAAACTTAGCGCACTAGCAGCAGTATCAAAGGCACAAGCACAGGCTGATGGACACAGAGACTTGTGGAAGAGAGCTTCCAAATGGAAATAACCAAATCCTTTAACCCATGTTTGCTGAGAAACAATTTTGGTTTGGCATTTAAGCAATGTTGAAAAAATATCTATTGATTAAGTTCAAGTGATGTTCCTGATTGGCCACCCTACCATGTATAGTGTTCTGTAATTGATCATGATGTTTGATATTCTCAACCATGTCATGTTTGATATTCTTTTCCCTCCCCCCTTCACAATGGGAATATGTATATGGTATTTTTTCATGATTTCTTGTCTTAATAACAAACATAACGTGGTTTTGTTTCAGATATAACCATTTTTAGATAAATTTGCAATAAGGTCTACCAAATAAATGCAATTTTCTTGGAGGGAATAATAGAGCTTTCAGTTCTTCATTCTATTGAGATTTTCTTATTCTAACAGCTAAAAAAAATGAAGACAAAAGTTCAATCTCTCTATTTTGTAATATTACATTTTGGGACTTTTTGTGGGCTGGAGAAAAAGAAATTCTGCTGCTGGGAATAATTATGATTGTATTAATAAGCTGTGTGAGAGAGGCTCCTTTCTTTAATGAATCCCTTTTACAAGAAGCTGGAGGTAGCTGTTTTATCTCTGAAATTCAGAGCACTGTTATGGCTGTTGTGACTCCGGCTGGATGCTAGAGGCAAGAGAATAGCTAATGTAACTAAAGTCACTGTGAACCCAAACTGCAAATTAAAAGGTGACTTTGTGTCTTTCTTATATGGAAAATGTGTACTTGTCATATCTGCTTGACAGTACAAGAGTGAATGTATGGTTTGGACAATAACGAACAATGACAGTAGTCAACCTCATCAGAAGACATGAAATAAAGAAGTGACAATGATTAATGGCAGCTGGCTGTTCACAGAATTTTCGAGAAGAGTTTTTCTTGGCATGATCAAGTAACCAGGGGATGTTGCTGTGGCCCTCCTGAGCTCTTCGCAGCAAACAAAGGACTGGTCCTCCCACGCCTGCTGCCCTGGAGAATCAACTCAGTCCCTTGATAGTCCCTCCGACTAAATCCAGCTAACTGCATGGCTGACAGAGGATGGCTTCTTCAGAGGCTATGAAGGGCACAATGAATTTTGCAGAAGCTTCAAATTAAAAACTATTATGGCATATGTGCATAAAAACCCATGGACACAGACAATAGTGTGGTCAAGGCCTGAGGAGGGGGTAGGAGTGAGGTAGAGGAGGGCATTGGGGGGACACAGGAGGATATGTGTAATACTTTCACCAGTAAAGATAAATGTTTTAAAAACCTATTATGGTAATACACAATACACACAAGGGGATAAACATGTGATGTGTATTTCAATGTTAATTTTTATAATTCTTTTTAAGACAGCTGCTTTGAATAAAAATCATAACAGAGTTTTTGTTAATGATTTCATAGTAAATCAATGATATTTTATTTTCCCTGCAGATATTTTATTATCACAGCTACATTTATGTAGTTATTTGCAGAGTACTTGATGTTTTTACATGCCCTACAACATGAGCAAAAATACATTCTCTCTAGCTGACTGAATTAATATGTTAAATGTGCCTGAAGTAGTTAATAAAGAAATGAAGCTTCATTTATCGTGGCCCATTTAGGTCCTATCATGGTATTTGGAAAATTTGGGGCCCGATTGTGGAGATTTGTTCCTTTAAAAGTTCATTTTTTTTTTTTTACAATGAGAAGGAAAGTGATTTACAGTGTGGTTTGGGGTCATGCAAATTAAGTTAATATTGAATTAATTCTTTGATATCACACTCCTGCAATGTAGCAACTGCAAGTTGACAATACAAGAATATATAGCAAAAATCTCAAGAGATAAAACTGTAGAAAGGAATTAAGGCAAATGAGTATCTGGAAATCTACTAGGCTAGCAATGCGTTATTGTGCAAATACATGTAAATTTACGCAGAACAAAATCCATTCAGTCATCTATCCATCCATCCTTTCTTTCATTCTTTAAAAAAAATAAAGCAAAATCCTAAATTCCCACAAAGTTCACATTCTATGGTAAGCTTTTAAAAATGCCTCATGAGACATTCAAAGGAAATAAAGTTACATTATTTATCTGCTTGGAGTGTTAAAAAAAATCTGTCTGCTAGCCAGGGGTACATTTATGCAAAATAAAAGAAAAAAAATAAAGGGGAAAAAAGAAAGCAAATTCAAGAAACAAACAGAATTAGAAGAAGGACTATTATTAAATGATCAGGAAAAATGAATTGACCTACGACTTCTAAATCAGCATTCAAAATACTGAAGTACATATTTGCCTGCTCTCTTGACCAATTTTTCTAGCTCCCTCTAATGTCAAGTCTGCCTCAAGACAATTTTTGGTGGTCAGGTTTTCCTACATGAACAAAGAAACTGTATACTCTCTTTTATTCATAACTCAAATAGTAAAAAAACAACAACAGATTTTCCTAAGCTTTAGGTTTTGCTGTTTCAGGAGTATTTTTAGAAAAAGTAATACAAATACAAGTGATGTTGAAGAAGTTACTGTTGTCATTGTTCTTGGGGGAGTAGCAGAGAGACATTCGAGACCGGAAGTCAAAGCCCTCCCTGGCACTGGGAGATTGTGAACAAGCTACATGGACGCAATCCAGTCCTTACTTTCCTGTTTTTGTGAGTGGTAGTCCCATGCAGTATTGCTCTCCTTTCAAAATTAATTCTCCATTGGTCTTACTTAGAGCACACCCTCAAGCCAGGTAGAATTCATTCTTTAGTGTTCAATTAAGACATTTACTTTATTAATGGTATTCTGCAATTTCTTAAAGTTTTGCTCCATTTCCTACCCCACATTTCTGTTGGTTAAGGCAGCTATGGTTACCACACCATTGGGACACTGACCACTCTGGTCTTTGGGATGGGAAAGGGAAAACAAAAGCAGCAACACAGTGTCTGAGAGCAGGATGATCTGTTTTCAGGCATTAAGCAGTCAGGTGGCTGTGAATTCCATGAAACAAAGGCATTATGTGCCATTTTGTTGTGATGTTGATTAATATTCTTGGAATGGGAAAAAATGAAATGTTAATCGTTGGCTTTACTCGGAGGATCATTTGATGCCAATATGAAAGCCAAGGAGAGGAGGCAATTATGCACACGTCACATGCATCCTAGTTTCAGTATGAAGCTTACATTTCAAACCTGAGGTTAGGAAAAGAACATGAAAATTTTTACTACAAAGTCTAGACAGGAGAAAGATATAAGAGGAGGGGGAGGAAGCACATTGCAGGTGTCAGATAATCTAGTCTGATTATCTGAGCTGTGCTAGCTATAGGGGAACACTTACCCTTCAGTCCAGCTAGAAGTTAGCAGGGTAAGAAGGAACAAACCAGAATAACATAAAGACTAGCAACAAGGCTCAGGAAAGCAGACAGGAGTTCTAACCTAGCAGCTAAAGTTCTTGGGTTTGAGCAAAGATTGAACAAGAAAAACTTAAATGAAACAAAACAAAACAAAAACAAAAATTAACCCCTCCCCCCAAAAAACCAACAGTAACCAAGACCCCTCTAACTGTGGAAGACTGTTCAGGTGGAAGCAAAAACAGAACAATTCTCAAAAACACTGAACTTTGGGGATCTATGATGTGATAAAAAATTATTAATTGCAAAACAGACATTAAAGTGAGACTCATTGCAAGTGATATAGTAATCAATTGACCAAATACAAAGCTTAAAATGCCACCCCCTCCCCCTCTGAGGTCTGGTTTTCTCCATTCCTCTGACACAGGGATCAGGTGTCTCCATAAGAGGCCACTGGCATAATAAATTGTGGCAACACTCAAATACAGAGTTGGACATAGTTTCCAAGGTAAGCACTATTGGCCTTAAAATTGGAGAATTGCAATTAGTTGTTAAAAAAAAAAGTTGCTTAACTAGGCACTGACTTAATTTTTCTCAAATTTTAACCGAAAAGTGGGGGGGATTAAATCAACAACATCACCACACATCAAGAAAACAAAAGAACAAAAAAGTTAAGGTTTGGTGGAACCCTCCCAAAATCATTGTAGAGTCATACAAACTAATGAATAGCAGGATCTATTTTTTTTCCGGTATTTACAGTTGAATATAAATACTCCACTCCACTCTTTCTTAGATGTGTCTTTTCATTCTGAAATTGAGCTTTTGAGATTGCAAAAACTAAAAACTGCACCCAGAAGTTCGTTAAACTGAATTTAGAAAGACCCAAATAAACTCACAATTACTCCCAAGTTTCCCAATCTGTAATATGTTTCATTCTCGAGTTTCCCTTGAACAGACAGTGACGTGACAGGACTGGAGTGTTTATTTTTTCTACCCCAAAAGTCCTCCCATTTATATGTAGCTTCCCTTTGCCATGGAAATACTAACAAAGTAATTGCAAAGTTAACTCATTGATAGACATTCTTAAGAATTTTTTACTTGCAAGAATGGTGAATACTTTGAACATATATTCTAAGACAGGATTTGATGAGGTGTGTACAGAATAAAGTATTTAACAATGACCCTTACCTGTCAGAAGTCAAGGAAACCTTTTTAAAATGCAATACTTGATTATTTTGACTCTTTTTGTTAGAGAATCTGTGATTGACTTTAAGCATGTAATGAGACACAAAGCAAATGGGTGTGGAGACTGAGAAGGTGCGTGGAAGATCAACATTTTCCACCTGTTACTGTGCTGGGATTGTTGTTCATTTCCTTATAAGCTGGCTTTGTAGGACCAGGTGATCAGTCTGCACCAGCTTGCCCAGGACTGAGGACACAGGCCTGGGGACACAGGATTTGGTGCTAAAACCAGGGAAGTCCTGTGCAAGTTTGGATGAGTTGGTTGCCCTTAGGTTTGACTGATCTCTTTGATAGTGATAGTTTAAATTTAACAAATAAAATGCAGCTGTGAAGTACCGTATTTTTCGGACCATAAGACGCACTTTTTTCCCCCCAGAAGTGGGGGGAAAAAGTCCCTGCATCTTATGGTCCAAATATAGCCTACACATATACTTTAAAAAAAAAGTTTTTTTACTTGCCCGGCTCTGTGTGGTCTCTGTGTGCTTGCCTGGCTCTAAAATGGTTCTAAATGCTGCTGTTTACTTTACAGGGTTGATTACATGTGTTTATGACTGTGATGTTGGGTTTTAATGCACATAAAATATTTTAGGACACTATTTGTTTCAGAATCTTTTTTTCTTCATTTCCCTTCTCTAAAAACTGGTGCGTCTTATGGTCCGGAGCGTCTTATGGTCCGAAAAATACGGTAATTGTGATGTAAGTCTCATAAAATTATGACCCCTAGAATTTTGGGGGTATAGGTATAACCACTCATGGCACCACAGAATGTAACATTCCTGGTTCCCTTTTTGATCTTTCTCATGTGTTTCATATACTTGTAACTGTAGGTAATCAGGTGAGGAGCTGGGTTGGTTGAGTCCTGACCTGTTACCAATGTAGGCTTCTATCGGGTCTAGTAATAATTAATGTCGTTTTTAAACATTCGTTTAAAATCTTGCTTGGCGTTGACTTGTATTGACATAACCTTCAAACACGTGGTATCTACAGAACGTGTGAAGTGCAATTAACAAGTTTTGCTTGAAAAAGTTTGTGTTTGGTTTGGTTTTTGTTGCAAAACTAGGGCTAAGAAGATGGCGGATGAAGAGCATATTCGGCACTGCATGCTTTACGAGTTCCAGTTAGGAAGAAAAGCAAGTGAGGCTGCAAAAAACATCTGTAGTGCTCTTGGTCAAGATGCAGTTAGCGCCAGAAAATGCCAGCATTGGTTTGAGAAATTTCGCGAGGGAAATTTTTCGTTAGATGACAAGAGTGGTCGAGGCCGTGTGTCCAATTTTGATAAAGAAGCTCTTCAAGCTCTTTTGGTGCAAAATCCTCAAATTACCCAACAAGAGCTTGCGACAACTTTAAATTGTTCACAAAAAACAATTTCCAATCAATTGTGTGCACTTGGCAAAGTCCAAAAGTTTGGAAAATGGGTTCCTCATGAGTTGATGGACAACAACCGTAATCAAAGAGTCACAATTTGCAGTTCGCTCCTCTCTCGACAAAACTGTTTGCTGTTTTTAGCCGGGACTGGTTTGGCTCAATGGATAGAGCGTCGGCTTGGGGACTGAAGGGTCCCGGGTTCGATTCTGGTCAAGGGCATGTACCTTGGTTGCGGGCACATCCCCAGTAGGGGATGTGCAAGAGGCAGCTGATCGATGACTCTCTCTTATTGATGTTTCTAACTCTCTATCTCTCTCCCTTCCTCTCTATATAAAATCAATAAAATATATTAAAAAAAAAACAAAACAAAAAAAACTGTTTGCCGTTTTTAGAGCAAATTGTTACCGGAGATGAAGAATGGGTGCTGTATGTTAATTTGAAAAGGCGGCCTCAATGGTTGGACAAAAATGAGGCTCCGCAGCCCACGCCAAAACCTGACTTGCATGCGAAAAAAGTGATGTTGTGTGTTTGGTGGAATTTTAAAGGAATTCTTCATTATGAACTTTTACCATCTACCCAAACCATTACAAGTGCAGTGTATAGTGCCCAATTGGAAAGGTTAGCCCAAGCTTTAAGAGAAAAAGAACCCGCGCTGATTAATCGGAAGGGCGTTAATTCTTCACCACGATAACGCACGACCGCATACTGCAAGAATCACTGCTGAAAAACTGCGCCAGTTGGAATGGAAAGTTCTCCCTCAACCTGCATATTCTCCTGATATTGCCCCTTCCGATTACCATTTGTTTCGTTCTTTGCAAAACTTTCTTCTTGGAAAAAAATTTAATAATGAAGAATGCCTCAAAAATGCATTGACCGAATTTTTTGCATCAAAATCACAAGAATTTTACAACAGAGGGATTAAAATGCTTCCTGAGAGTTGGGCACAAATAGTAGAAAAGAACGGCAACTATATTGTTGATTAAATTTTGTTGTATTGTTTAAATAAATTCGATTTAAAAAAAAGTATTAGAAAACGACATTAATTATTACTAGACCTAAGAAGTTGTGGGAGCAGACGCCTCACTGGCTGGTACCCTGGGATAGTGAAGTGCCTGAACCAGCAAATAGATTGAATCTGGGGTAGTATTGAGGCTCTGTTTCCGGAGTAGTAAAGGAATTATGAGGTTACTGGGTTCAACACTGTTGGCTAAGCTCTGGGTAAGGATTGCCACTTATTACAGGGTGGTGGTGTGCTGGTGTGTAGATTGGGCTGGGCACTGCACAGATCCATAGGGGCCGTTCACAGTTGTGTCTGTGTGGGAACGTCTCCCCCAGCACCCTGGGCCTCACTGGCAGTGGTGGCCTTGTTCTTACAGAACCTGGTGGGTGTGGTTGGGCCTCACACTCTTTGGAGGACCAGTTCTTGGGCAGTGATTGAGGAGGCAATAGAGAAGGTGGCTTCCCTAGCCAGGTCCTGATAAATCCCAGAGGCATGAGTTATCTGACCTCACGCATCTCAAAGCCTGCCTTCCACACTCTCTAATAAAAGTTCCTACGTGAATGGGGAAGTGACATACATCAAGCTCCTGTGTACCCAATCGAGTCTTCCTACTAATGCCGATGACTAGCACTTCAACTTCAATCAAATGAGTCCTGCCCACAGAGGGAAAGCTAAGTCCAGAGCCCCTGAGTGTTTCCATGAGGAGACAGCCATCCACAGCTCCCATCAGCTGCCTTCTTGTTTTATCATTTTACTCCTGAACATCCTTCCTCTTTCCTACTCTAGTGAGGAAATAGTGGGATAGACACAAGCCAAGTAATGTCTTAATCAGGGCAGATAAGAGAACAGACACACTGGATGTAAGGTGAAATGACTTCAGGGAAAAAAAAGATTATTTGGAAATAACACTTGGCTTTTCCAAATATCACCTGATATATACATGTTTTATGAGATTGAATGGGATGGAGGTTATAATTAGGAAACTTTTCTGCTGATATACCCCTTTCAGAGGGCGTGTTATTTCCAAATGTATTAAAAAGGAGCCTGTTGGATCTGGATTGTGTGGCTCAATGGTTGAGCATTGACCAACCAATCAACCAAAAGGTCATGGTGAGATTCCTGGTTGGGGCACATGCCTGGATTCCAGGCTCCATCCTCAGTGAGGGATGTGCAGGAGGCAGCATATAAATGATATTTCTCTCAAATCACTTATGTTTCAATCTCTTTATCCCTCTCTCTTCCTCTCTCTTTAAAAATCAACAAAAACATATTTAAAGAAATATATTTTTAAAAGGAGCCTGTTGGGCAAGGTGAAAGGAGGAATTCCACCGCATAGTTGTGTGTGTGTGTGTGTGTGTGTGTGTGTGTGTGTGTTTTAATTAAATAAATATTGGATATGGTTTAGCTCAACTAACAACTAAAGAGTTCAAAAAAAAAAAAAAAAAGATGATGCCTGTTCTCTTTATCGCTATGAAGACTGAATGCCACAAGAAAAAAGTGGGGACACTGGGGTGGTTACAGTCAGAAGGGCTGTCCCTTCTCCCCATTCCCTCCTCAACCTTTTCCTCATTGTTTTGGGATTTTTGCATGGAGATCCACAATGGCTGTGTGATTACCTACAGTGTTCCACAGGAAATGCATCTTCCTTTAAGAACCATCAGTATTAGACAGAAATTCCTGGGAGCACCAGATTAATCGTATTTGTCATCCAAAAAGAGCTTTTCCCCATCAGCGAAGGTGTTACAAGGTTTAAGAGGATATTCTCATTAGACAGAAATGGACATGGCAGTGGAATTCATTGGCAAGAACATTTATCTCTATTTAGCTGCAAAATTATTCTATCCTTATCCTCATTTCGTTTAAGAGCAACTTAAAGAGAGGAACTATGTCAGAGCACTGTGCTAACAGCCAGGTTTGTGCTGTGGGCCTTCACACTTGCTTTCCCTTCTGCTACACTTCTTCTGCTGTTTGTGAGACTGACTCCCCATCATTTGGATTTATACTCAGATAGACTGTCCAGTGTCCCCTCTCCTCACTCAGTCACTGGGCATGCCATTCTTCATGGTATTTTTCAGTGTCTGAAAGGATCTTATTTCTTTGCTGACTTGCTTGCTATGTATTAATAGATGCCTCCACTGGGATGCAGGTATCCTGAGAGCAGGGACCTTGACTCTCTTTCTCATTAGGGTGTCTCATCACCTAGGTAGTTGCTCAGTGAACCAAATGGAATGAGTGGGGTCGCCATGATTATAGCTAAAAGGACCTTTCCCTGACGTATTTCTAATTGCCTTAATAATCGGGAAAGGTGAAAGCCACTGTTTAGGGTCAATGTTTGTAATAAAAATGAATTATTTTATTGGTGCTTTATGTTTCCAGTGTTGCCATCTTCTCTGTTTTAAGCCGAATTTCACCTGACCCTGAGCATCAGAAGGCTTGGAAGAAAAAAAACAAAACAAAACTCTGCTAGTAGCAAGAAGACATGGCAAAGAGGAAAGAAATTAAAATGCATGTAGAAGTAAGAGGAGAAGAAATTGGAAGAGAACGAAGGCTATTTAAGGAGATAGTTTCACTTTTTGGGTGCTGTGTTTTAGCTCAGAATGGGATTTTAAGTACCCTGGTTTTTCTGTTTCCACTGCATGTGGTAATGTCATCATTTATTTTTAAATGGTCTGAGTTGCAGATTTATATTATTTTTCCAATTAAACCCTATTTTAATAGGAAGAAATGAGGCAAGGACATGCATAATCTACTATTTTTGAGGGACTCAAGCAAATACATGTTTGATTGTGAATTCCAAACTCTCACAAAGAGATACAAATCCATCTAAATATACTTCCCTTTGCTTATTCCTTAAAGTGTCAAGTATTGCACTTTAAAATTACTTTCATCTAACATTTTGCCCGAACTTTTCCCCCTGGACTCACTGTGTTGTTGTTTCCCCCCACCCCAGCAAACATGATTTTATGAATCTTTCATATTAAAGCAACTAGGTTCTTCTAATTCAGCTTTGGAGATTGCCTCTACAGAACTATTTCGAGCAAATGGCAGATCTACTTACAGAATTGGGATATGGGGGCATCCAGCTGGGGCACGTTCCCTCCCTTGGCATTGAGTTTCTGCACTTGGGTCGGGGGCACAGGCTTGTGTGACTGCCCAGTGGCCCGGTACATGGCTTGGACCCACAGGATGCGATCTTGCTCGTCATCACTTGCAAATATCACGGTGTCTCCTTCTTTGACTGCATTGAAGAAGGCTCGACCACCTTCCAAACCTGGAACAAAAGGAATAAAAATGACTGAGCTGAGCTCAATGTTCTTGGCTGGACTGAGAGAGGTGGATTCTGCTGTTTTTCCTTGGGCCAGAGAGGGCAGGAGCAATTAATTGTCTGACTTTAGTGGGGGAAAAAGGCTGCCCCCACTCGGCCAGAGGGGGCCCATGATGGTAAAGAGGCAGCGTTAGCATGGCTTTTGTCTCTGTCTTTGTCTGGGGCCAGAATTATCAAGCGGCTGCCTCCTGGCTGGGTAAACATTTGCCTATACATATACTATTATTTTCATCATCTTTCACGCAAATAAAAAACAACAAAAATATCTCTTAACCCATATGTCTCCCTTCTCCTTACTGCAGCAGAAGATATCAATCAGGGTTACTCAGATTTTAATGCAGGTGCGAGTCTCGTGGGCATCTTGTTAAAATGCAGCTTCTGATTCAGAGTCTGCATTTCCAGACCATGCAAGGACCAAACTTCCAATACTGAGGGTCTCTTTCCATTCTGCCCACAGCCCCTCCAAGAGGCTATTGCCCCACCGAAACTGACAAGGTCCCCAGTGACTTGCTGAATCTGATGGTCAATTCAAAGTCCTTATTTTATTCCATCCATCTACTCATCAGCCAGATGTGACATGCACTCCATTCTTCCATTCTCTTGGAAATGCTTTCTTCACTTGGCTTCAGTTCACCTGATTTCTTCCTCCTTCCTGGCTGATGCTCATCAGTCTTGTTTGGGGTCCCTCCTTTACTCCTTCCTCTTAAATGTTGGAGCATCTTGGGGTTTTGTGTTTGGACCTCTTCTTTATCTACACCTGTCTTCCAGTGATGCCATCCACTCTCAAATACCAGGAACATGCTCATGGTCCCTGAACCTCCACCTGGACATCTCCCTTTGAATTGCAGGCCCAAATACCTAATGGTTTTCTTGACTTCTCCATGTTTATTATATACAATACCGAACTCCTGGTCTTTCTCCCGAATGCCTCCCCATCTCAGTAAAGCTAGCGCATCCCTAGTTGATTAAGCCCACAGCTCACTTCACACTGCTCACTTTCTCTCACTACTCACTTCCAGGGGAATTCTCAAGGCCATCAATTCTTTAGGACATTATACTAGAATTTGGTCCCCTCTTTCCCCCCTGATGCTGCTACTCCAAATCGAGCCATGCTCACCTCTCATTGGGATTTCTCTCTCTCTCTCTCTCTCTCTCTCTCTCTCTCTCTCTCTCTCTCTCTCTCTCTCTCTCTCTCTCTCTCTCTCTCTCTCATGCACATATATGAACTCACTTCATGGTGGCCATGCTGGCCTCTTGTAATTCCTTGAACCACTCCAGGCATGTTCTCACCCCATAACCTTTGCACATGCTGTTTCCTGTGCCTAGATCACTCTTCCTCTAGACGTCTGTATGATCCACACCCTCACTTCCTTCATGTCTTTGCTCAAAATGTCAAATTCTTGTTTGCGCTTTTACTGATTTCTCCCTTCTTTACGCATCTCTCTGAGCTTGCTTCCTTTTCCTCCAAAGTTCTTATCACTATCTTACAAGCTAAATAACTTACTTTACTTCATAAGGACCGGGAGGTTTTGTCTATTTTGTTCACTGATGTATCCCTTGTACCTACAATAGAATAGTATAATACATGGCACATAGTAGGTGCTCAACAGATACTTGTTGAATGAATGAATGCTCTCAGGTCCATCATTCCCCAGGGGAAGTTCTCAAAGTTACCATTTATAGTAAGGAAGGTGGAAGCCTCCCTGAACTCAGGCCACGGTTACATTGTGTCTGTCAACATATTCCAAAAGCCGGTGTTTTGGGGTTACTGGGAACTCAGTGGCCAGATACAAAGCTTCATAGCTTCATCAGGTTCCTTATCATCTCCCCAATTATCAGTTAAAACCGAGAGAATGATAAGAGTGATTAGCAGCCCCAAATATCCAGCAAGGCTCAGCCACTAATCTGCTTGACATTTGGCACTGAACTTGGTGATGCGTTGACTTTGCATTCACGTTGATAATACTAACCCAGAGTCCACTCCACAAGAGTTGTGTATGTTCGCAGTTTTGCACTTAGAGTTTCAGGGATTCTAGAACAACAGGGGCTACTCCTTTATATGGAGGTTTTGATGGTACAGCAATTATCGTGAAAGATCTTGGGTGGTTATAATTACGGGGGGATATTTTTCCTAGTTTTTTTTAGAATGTGCCAATTGGCTAGGCTAATGTACAGTGAACAAGCTGGGAAAACCTGATGAAATGGATGGATGACATGATAAGAAGGAAAATTCTGGAGGGCGCAAGAGAAAAGTGAAGATCTTTGAGGGATGATTGGAGCCCTGAGAAGTGAGCAAGAAGGAGCTCAAAGGAGAGTGGCCACCAGACCTGCTGCAGAGCAGGCTCCCATGGGAGGAGCTGCTCAGAACTGTCAGTGAATGCCAGTCCACACCACCAGCAGAAACTTACCCTGCCCAGTCCCCGACCCCGCGACCCTCCGACGCCCTTTACCTAGGGCAGCAGCAAAGGTCACAGTCAGTTTGTGGGTTGCCTCAAAGTGCAGAGGTAGAGAGAGAAGGAAGCCAAGAAGTTCTCAGATTTGTATGTAGTCCTCCCAACAGCCCTCTGAGCTAAGTACATTATTCTCATTTTGTGAATGAAGAAATGGAATCACGGAGAAGGTGATAATTAGCCCATGAACTCAAAGCAGGGCTGTGAGCATCAGAGGTGAGCTTCCGGTCCCACTATTTAACTTCAGAGCTGACAACTGTGACCACTGAGCAGGGTGGGCGGGTCACACAGAGCTGAGGACCGTGACCACTGAGCTGCACAGATGGACCACATGGCCGAGCACACAGAACTGAGGACTGTGACCACTGGGCTGCATGGCCCGACCACAGCGGGGAACAGTGACAGCTCTCTGCGACGGGCCATGAGCAGCACTGGAACCTCCTCCTGGAGGCATCAGGGTGAAGAGAAGCCTCTAAAGCAGCAGCAGTGGTGACCATGACCACAGTGGAACGCAACAGAGCTTTTCCGGGAAACACCGAGACCAGGCCATGCCAAGGAGAGCAAGGAGGGGGCCGAGCAAGGGGATGAAAGGAGACAGGGAGGGAAAGCACAGTGAGCATCGGCACAGGCCCTGCCTGCCAGGCACAGTGGGACACGCGGGGACGGACGGAGGCTGACCAAGCACAGAGCACTGGCCAGCTCCCTGGGGAGAGACTGGCCAACAGCACACATGGATGGAGCCATTTACAGTAGTAACGCTGTGAAAGAATTAATTTCGTGGTTTGAATTATTTTAAATGAATATCCTTTCATTTAAAAACTTCACTACTTACTCTAATAGGAATTGAGAGATTGTCACATGTTCTCTGAACCACACCGGGAAGGGTAGAGTCTTTAGCTTAGAACAAGTAGCGGTATTTACCGCTTACAGAGGTCTTTACAGTTCCCCAGGTGGATGTGCCACAGCCCAACGCAAGCTAAAGCTGATTGAGTGTGAATGCTTGTGTCTGGTTGACCAGGGGTCCCAGGATGACACAAAGGCGAGAACATCACAGCTATAAGGCTGCCTGGGCCCACTGACAGCCTGGATAGAGCCAAGAAGGCGGGGGCGGGGGGGGGGGGCGGTGGCGCACGGAGAGGGTGGGCTCAGAAGTCCTCTCCATTCGCACGCTCACCCGAGGAGACCTCACCCCTCTGAGGGCACTGGCCACATTGTACCTTACTTCCGCCTGTAGCTGGCAAACCTGGCTGTGCACACAATGCCCCCACGGCTTGCTGAAGTATGAGGATCTGCCCTCCCCTCTCCTAGGTTGGTCATAGCTCAGGTTTGGGGCCCAGGAACTTCATTTCTAACTAGCACTCTTTGAGAAATTCAGAGTTACACTTTTCTTATGACAAGCAGGAGTATTTAAAACTCATTTTCAATCAAATGTTACTTGGAAAATAAATAGGACGTGGCACACACAAGGCAAAGAAGCTGCTGCTTATTATTCTCAAGAACACATCACTGGTAAAGAAACCTATACATTATGTCCCATGTGGTCAACGTGACAAAAGGAAGAGGAGCTTTCTAATAGATGTGCACATTCCTTGGCTGGTGGATGGAAGAGCTTCCTGCCCTCCTGCCCTCCTGCAGGGAGAGGATGTGCTTCCGGGACAACATGACAGCTCCAGCTACTCCGAGTGCCAAAGGGGGCATGGGCTGTCCCCCAGCCCCAGCCCAGCCTCTCCCTTACAAAACAGGACCGCAAGCCTAGCCCTGTCTCTGTCAGCGGGGGAGTGAGGAGAGGACCAAGTGCAATCATGTGTGGGGAAAAGTGGTGAACTGGCTTTAGACGGAAGGTGTGACCATCTCCCCTCTCATGCTGGCCCTTCAGCCTCCCGCCTTAGCCTGCAGGTCCCAGCAAAGGGGGAACCCATTTCTCTGAAGGGAACTCAATGGTTTGAGAAGATCACAAACCATCACAGAAGACCCGAGGGCTGGCTGTTTAATGCAGGAGCCACATCCTTTCAATGAGATGTTGCCTGACGTTTCAAACTCCAGCAGGTTCTATCTGTAATGAAGGATTTCCAGGCAGAGCCTTGAACTCAGGCTCTCTGTGGTCGCCTCTGGGGGGATGTTAACTATCTCCTGAGTCGCTTGGGTGCGAATTTTCCTGAGTGGACTGGGCCCAGGGCATTCCTGGCCATACTCTTCCGGGATCACACCCCATCTTCGCTCAAACTCTGTTTTTCTTTCATGTGTATTTTGTTGCATGTGGGAGAGCAATATGGGAGGAGAAAAAAAGGTTTTGGGCCAAATAATGCAGTATGGTTGGAAATGCTTCCTTGTGCAGATTTGGCATAAAAATAAACTTCTCTGGGAGAGGGCTGTTGGTGCTTGTTGTTCATTAATATGCTGAAATGATTTCACACCCCCACCCATTTTGAAGGTTCTTTGAGGCTGATTTCTATTCATTTTTTTTTTTTTTCTGGGAAGAAGATAAAATGGGTGGTGGTGGGGAGAGGTGTGAGGAACAGGAAGTAGAACTTATGAGAAATACTACGATTCAAGTGGTTCTCTTAGTTACACAGGCTTCAGGGCTTGGATGTCTATGCCTGTGGATTGGTGTCTACTTAGGAAAAAAGACATTTAGGGAGTGCTTTCTTTGCACGTGCCATCGGCAGATCTGGATATACAGGGCAGGCTTGGACAGAGACACACTGTACAGCCACAATATGCAATCACTGGTGAAGAACCACACACACACACACACACACACACACACACACACAGTCCTTGGTGTTCCTGTAGGGACTTATTTTTTTCCAGGAATTTCTTTTCTTAGCATTCTAGGGTAGAGTATATACTTGAGGTGAGGTGGGCACAACCATGTGAAAAATATATGCAGGGTGTCCCCCCAAAAATGTGTATGCATTTTAACAGCCGATAGCTCCCTACTGAAAATGAAATGTATTCTAATAAACACTGCCTTTATAATTATTCAACATGTGTATAGACATTTTTTTGGGGGGTAGCTTCTGTATAGATTTTGTTTTGATTTTACAGGGATCCATTGAATAAAACCAATGTTCTTGATTGGGTTGGCATTTACTCAACCAAGACGGCAAGTCCACAAGCCAGGGACTGAGTGGCTGACCTGGTGACCTGCCTCTGAAACCCTGGGAACAAGGCGTAATTAAGTAAATGCCCAACAAATATTAGCGGAGCATTGAGTTGGGAAGGGGGAGGGCTTTGTGTGCTCAGGGCCTGCGGGCGGCTGGTACCTGGCTGGGGGTCGGTGTAATCCACAGTGTAGCCGTCCAGCTGCAGCAGCTCCTGAGGCTCCGCTTTCTTCTCCCGGTAACTGCACATGGCGAAGGTGTACTGACTGACCTGGAGGAGAGACAGACGGTGAGGCTGGGCCTCAGAGCCCACTCCCCAGGAGACACCTCAGCCTTTAACATCCCCCCCCCCTACCTCCCCAGGGGACACCTCTGCCTTTAAGGTCCTTCCCCCCATTTCCCCTGGAGACACCTGTGCCTTTAACACATTCTCTCTCCCACCCTCCTCCCACCTCCCCAGGGGACACCTCTGCCTTTAACACATTATCCCTCCTCCCCCATCTCCCCAGGAGTCACCTCTGCCTTTAAGGTCCTTCCCCCCATCTCCCAGGAGACACCTGCGCCTTTAACACATCCTTCCCCCACTTTTCCAGGAGGCACCTCAGCCTTTAACATACCCTTTCCCCCGAGGCCCTGTGTGCAGGAGCGGGGTTCAAAATAAATTTTGTCACCTTTAGCTGTGTGGCATGGAACAAGTTACTCAGCCTCTCTGGTTCCCTGTGACCTCATCTGTAGACTGGCTATAATCCGAGAACCTACCTCCTCGCTCAGTTTGAATGGGTTAGCACGGAATGCACTAAGACTCAGTGACTGGTGCTCAGTAATTGCTTAATAGCAGTTGGCTGCTGCCATCACTGCTGTTATTTTAATTGGGATAAGCCACAGGAAATTGCCATTTTTGCGGGTCAAATAGTGGCAATTGACTGTGGCCCTAGCCATGACTGCCAAGCTCATATCATAAAACGGGCCTTTTGGTCATTCATTTATGTATGCCCCAACTTTTAAATATGTTTTTTTTTTTTAGTATTTCATTTTCCCAGGCCCATTCTCAGCATCAAGACTCCCATTTTACCCCCTCCCGCCCCTCCCTCCCGCCCATCCCACTGAAGGAGAGCCTTTGGTTCCTCTGAAAAGTCTCCAGCTCATCTCAGAGGCAGGAGTGACATGCTGTCATAAGCAATGAGCGTGCCCCCGCTGGGAGCCCGTCCCGGTACAGCCACCCTCTCCCTCGGCCGAGCCATTGTCCCGGATGTAGCCCACACTACCCACACGGGTGGGCGGGATGTCAGTGCCGGGTGGGCCTTCGGGACCTGTCGCCACGGTGCATCCAGACCCGTCTGTCAGGAGCCCGTGGGAGAGTGAGCATCCTTCGGGCTTCAGGCTACAGGCTCGTGGCATATTTACCATCCAGGATGTCAAATGCCTTGGCGAAAAAGTGCCACATCCCTCATCTTTTAGTTCCCTTTATTGAAAGAGACATGTTCTAAGTGAACTTTGATCGCTGCTGGGGACATTCCTAGTCTCCTTCTCCTTCTCCTTCTGCATGGTGAAGTTTGTCTCTTTCTTTGAAGGCAAGAGAAATCAGCGCTCTCAAGCCAGGCAGCACCTCTGCCTGGGAGGCCCGGGTCCAGGTGGGAGATAAAGGGAGAGCATTTACTGGTTGCTTTATCTGCTGCTGCCCTCTGTTGGTTTCTGATGGAACCTTTCTGCACCACTTTGTGCCCTTACAATGCATGGAGTTTGCAGAACTGTTCCTTATCTTGCAAGGCCTTGATGGGCTTCAAGGGAAACATACAGCCAGGCCACTTTGAGTATTTTCATAAGTGGATATGTATTATTCTCCTGGTAAGCAGAACACCCAATAGTACCCTCTTCTCTTAAAGTGGTATTTTAAAAATGAGGGTTAAGAGTGCAAGCTTGGTAGTCTCTCAGGCCTGCACCCCACTCCAGGTCTGATAAGCTGTCACCTCACCTATCTGAGTCTGAGTCCTCACCTGTATTCTACCTGCATCTTAATGGTGCTGGGGATTCTCTGAACAGAGTGCATGACCTTCACAGAGAAAATGCCCAACACGTGCATGGATGTAAACAGTTTCCTGGCATTTGGCACTGACATTCTAATATAGAATTGGCTTATGGAGTCATATATTTTGGTTTTATTCCCCATACAGTGGGCATTCATTAATTGAGTCTGATTTTTTTCTAAGACGTTGATCTAATAAAGAGGTGTGTGTGTGTGTGTGTGTGTGTGTGTGTGTGTGTTTCTTCTCTTCTCATTAACTTACATATAGTATGACTCTAAGCACAGAACCAGTATTTTCCAGCCCATTACTGGTTCTATAGGTAGCCGATCTTCTGTGATGAGACCATAATTACAGATATTGCAGGATTTTTACCTGTCTCTGGCAACACCACATGGTACAGCCTGCTAATGTGATGATTTGCCAAATAAATATAGAGTTTCAGACACTCACTTGAAAACAGAAAAAAAAATCACAACAGAAGGATATTATTTCAAGATCCTGCATTCACTCTTACTACAGGCTATGGGCTATTTGATTTTTTCTTGTTTCAGTAGCTTGCTTCTTTGGAATGCTGTACACTGCTGCCCCCTTCTGGTAGTACTGCTGAAGTTGTTACTGACAACATTTGGGCTCAAGTACAATAGTTGGTTTATGAGGACCATTTTAATTTGGGGTTTGGTGACTTACTTTAGGAAATCAAGGAAGGGATTTAAAAAAATGATTTCTCTTTGAATATTTCTTCTTATATCAAGTTTGTAGGGAACCTCAGTTTTTTTGGAGTGCTTGAGGGCTAAGGAATAGCAAAGGTTTGGCAGCTTTTTTATTTTTTAAAGCATCCACCAGGCATCACCAAGTGAAAGCTATTCCCAATGAAATGCATATTTTTAAGTCCCAGTAGAATTCTACTGACACTGAATTTTGAAGGAAATAAATGAAACAGTGAGCCTCTTTGCAATAATAGCATAGAAGAGTCTAGAACACACGCTGGCAGAGAGTCAACTAGCTCAGCTTGAGAGCCTGGACCAGGACAAGAGAAAATATAAAGATCTAGTGACCTCAAATGCCCAGCAGAATCTGAAAAATGCACTCTGGAGAGATGGGCGCAAAGGACTATAATTTCCACATGTTTGGGATTTTTCAGCTGGAATGCATCTTTTCATGGAATCATGAAGTTGGCTGTTGGGACTCCCGAGGGTACAACCTTCCTGCTTTTGTTACAAAGGTGGCTAAACTTCAGGTACACAAGAAACCCCTTAGCTTATTTCCAACCACTTATTTAAACTAGGAAAAGGTTTTCAATAATGTTTTATTCAGAGTGGGCAGGCCACATTCCTAGAGTGTGTGTATCTAGTGGGGGTAGGTTATAAATATGCAGGTTCTTTAAGTCAGAATAATTGAAACAGAATATAAGGTCCAGGAATCTCTACTTTTCATAACTGTCTCAGGTATTTCTCATGCATACTAAAGCTTGAGAATAGCTGTTTTAACATGTAGGAACTATCTTGAAATTTTAAGTTTGCCCTGAGTTTCAATTATATTTAGCCACTAGAGTCCAGATAGGAGGGTCGGTCTTTTCTTATTGACTGACTCTTCCTCTTCTTCCTCCCAGCATCCATGGGAGATTATAGTACTTGGACATACAACTAATGAGATACATTTTGTCTAAATCCCCTGTTCTTGCCTTTACTATCTTTCTTTGAGAATGACCCAGCTGTCATTTTTACTGAACCCTGGTCACGAGCTCTTGTTCAAAATTCACATACATGTATTTTAGAAAATACTTCTTTCTGTATGGCAGAGTCATTCATTCTTTCAATTATTTGTTCACTCGCCAAATACTTAGGTAGTCAGTGGGTGCAGGGAATATAAAGATGTTCAATACCAGATGTGGTTCCTGCCCTCATGCCTAGCAGAAAGGTAGACATTAATTATATGAGCTCAGAAATGTGGCATTAATGGTGATTAAGTATTAAAAAAGAGATCTACGGCACTGTAAGAGCTTGGGGATTTAGTGTAGTTGGGTGATCAGGGAAGGTTTTAATGAGGAAACATTGACTAAAACATCACAGAGCCAAGATCTGAGGATGGCCAACACTTTTATAATGTGAAGCATCCAGTTCCTGGGACCAATGACCATTTCTTAAGGTGACATGGTTGTGTATGAAGAACCACAGAGTCTAAACACCAGATATGTATTAGGTTCCATTGGCTGCCTACGGGCCATAAGCTTTGGGCAAGTCATTCAACCTCAGTTTGCTCTCAAGTAAAAGGTGGATCAAACTTGTCCTCACTGTGGTACAAAAAGGTTGTAAATACCAATTGGATGACCTCCTTGTAAACTCTGAGGACCATGTAAATATAAGCAATAATGAACGTTATTAGAGGAACCATAGAATATTATGGTTTGTATGGTGCTAACCAGGGGCGTGGATATCTCAGAAATACTTTGGCTGAAGACCAAACAAAAACTGATTTGAACCTGATTATTGGTCCACTGTGCCCAAATCTTTTGGGCACAGTGGACCAATAATATGGGAGGGGAGACTCCCTATCATGGTGAGAGGGCCTCTCATCCCTCTTCCTGTGGGAAATTGTAGCTATCCAGGCTCTTCTCTCTTCCTTTTCCTTCCTCCTTCCACTATTTCCCAAATGGCCGTGCCACACACTGAGCTGGAGGAAGTGTATGTGTGGGGCGGGGGAAAGAGGGAAGGACGTCAAGGTGAATCAGAAACAGAACTTGCCTTGAAACAGCACATAGTGTACTGGGGGAGGCCAGGCAGAAACCCAGGGAAGTCAGAGAGGCTGCTAGGCCATGTGAGCACACTGAGGGGAGACCCACCCATAACTGAGCACTGCTTCTTTGGGTGTAACTTGTCTCTCCTTTTATATTGTGCTCGTCAGACTGGGCATCAGCTCTTCTTGCCTGCCAGCATCCATTTCTCCTGGCATGGGCACCTTGATTTTGCACTGGAGACAGCTCCGTGGGCCTGATCATCACATTGCCTGCCCCTGCTAAAAGTTGGGTGCATGATCCAAGCCGGACCAACCCAATTCTCTCTCTCAGGTCTGGCTTTTGAGTGGAGATGGGAGGACAGAAAATGGTTAGAAATGATTTTGTCATGTCACTAGCCATGGTTTCCATGATCTAGACTTCTGGAACTGGTTTTGTTTGTAATAAGGACTGATCATTCAACCTTTTCTGCAATCTCAGGAACTACCTCAGTGCCTTCCAATACATTCATTAAAAAAAAATCTTAATTAGCATGAGTCTTTTTGCCTATAAAGAACTCTAATAGAGTTCTTTTGGAAATGAGGGACATGGCTTCATAGTCCTCTATGACCTACCAATGTGCCCTATACAAAATAGGTGCTCCATAGATATTGCTCAGTTGCTAGTCTGAGGAAATGTATCTCAAAATAAAATCTCCTTTATTGCTTAGCCATGGATTATTTTGGAGGTTGGACATAATTCCAAACCTTCTATTGGCTAATTTATTTTAAGGTTTTGCTCTACCCCATAGCAATATGAAAGCAAAGATCACTCTTGCTTGCAGCTAGGGAAGCATTTTGCCTCAGAGGCAGGCATGTGAGTAGATCTGTAGGAGGTCTAGTCTTAAGAGTTCAGAGTTAGGAGAACTTTCAAGGCCTAAGAGGTGTTTGCACCATGGTGAGGTTTCAGAACTGAGAGTGATCTAAATACCAGCAGTGCTTAGAGCCAACACAGTTACCCGGTAAACACCTTAGTCACTAAATGAAGGTGGCGCACTTTGTGATGTCGTTCAGAGTACAGCAGAAATTAACTTCTTGAAATTGAATTATAGTCTACATGCTCTGGTGGAGCCTGCAATTAAAAAGCCAATGGCAAATTCCTCCGCAAATTGAAAAATCCTGATGCAAAAAGCAAACAAACAAAAAAGGAGGGATTTTCAAAGACATGTATTCCTATTTTTGGATATTTTTTTCTTAAAGAAATACTTGAGAGCAAAGATACTATTTAAATATTACTACTGTATTACTAGTACCAATATCTGCATCCATATCTATGATATATCTGTATGCACTGATGTTCTGTGCTGCATGGTTAATAATAGTCCCATTTGGGAAGCCCAGAAGTCTATCCAAAAGGAGAATTCTAGTTGCTGAGAGAGTAAGTCTTAAAATTTCCCATCATAAGGAAAAAAAGGGGGGGAAATTTACAGGTAATAGAGCTAGAGGTATATGTGCAAACATGGGAAAATGTCTACAATGATTTTTTAAAGCAATTTGCAGGACAGCATGAAAAATTGATTATTTTTGGTTAAAGAAAGTTTATCTGGAGATATACATTCCTGACACTAAACATTATTATAGGGGGTCAGTCGAGACTTCTGGAAGCCCAGGCATCAAGAATAGTGGAGTGCTCCCCTACAGGTAGTTAAATATAAACACACTAATAATAAAATAGATGTGAAAAAGTCCAACTAAATTCTGGATTTTCTCAGGAGTATCCTAGAGTCTTTAGAAACCGCAGATTTTTCTAAAAGAATGTTGATGTCCCACTGCCCTCAACAGGCACAGGCTTGCTCCATCGCTAGGGTCCCCCATCACAGATAGGGTGGGAGTTCTCCTACTTATCTATAATAATAAAAGGGTAATAGGCTAATTAGACCAGACATCATTCCGGATCATCCTTCCAGATGAAGCCGGGGGCCAGAGGGAAGCTGGTGCCGGCAGCCAGGGGAAGGAAGGCCTATTCTTGCATGCATTTCTTGCAACAGGCATCAGGTGCTATATAATAAAAGGCTAATATGCAAATTGTCCCCTTAGGAGTTTCACTGACTGGGAGTTCGACATGTGCTGACCACCAGGGGGAAGCTTGGAATGAAGGAAGGCCCTGGCTGGCAGCAGGAAGGCCCCACTTGGCCCAGATCACCAACCGTGCATGAATTACGTGCATCAGGTCTCTAGTCTTACATAATTCTGTATTATCAGAATAGAAATTAATGAGCATTCATGGATTTAAAAAAAAATTTAAAGTGACATAAAAATAGGCAAAGGAACACAGGGAACACCCTGGATTCTGGAAATGTGCTTATGCAACTGGTTGGTGGTGTTACATGGATCTGTAAGGGCAAAACCTCACTGAGCTGCTGCTTGAGCTTTGTGTGCTTCAGGTAGTTACATCCATTAAAAACTGCCACATGGTTAAAACTGAGGGCTCTGAAGGCTGATTAATTAGAGTTGAAGAGTTACCTGCACCAACACAAAGAACCTTTTCTTCCATCGCTTCCACACATTCTTGCCGATGGCCCACAAATACCTAAGGAATAGAGAAAAGACATTGTTGCATTAATGCTTATGTGAGTGCATCGTTTAATACAGTTGACCGTGAGGCTTGTTGCTCAGGACATGCACGCGGCCCAGAAAGAGAAAGCAGATTTGAGGAGCTGAGCAAGAAACAGCAGCCAAGTCACTTCCCAGCCTCAGACTGCCTGGCTCCAGGAGCACCCCTAGAAAGTTACCTGTGACTTAATGTGCACACACACTAAGTCTTTTAGGTGGGGAAAACTCCTACAGGTGTGGTGCAAAGAGAAAAAAATTAGTGCTAAATCTCACAACTACCAATTCTTATCCTCTTAACCATGTTTTATTCAGGAAAACCTTCCCTCAGGATTTTTTTGTTGTTTTTGTTCTGCCAAAGGCAAGTGTATGCATTATAGGGAAGAAGTTGGAAGAAGTTTTAAGTCGACAGAGCAAGTTCTCCCTGTTCTCCTCCCTGTTCTCCTCCCTTTTCCCCAAATGCTCTTCTGTTGGTGGAAATTCATCTTTATATAGAAACATGAAATAAAAACGAGGGTTAAGGACCACAGAGGCTGTCCGGAGATTTTAAGATCAGTGTTGCTAATTCACTCATGAATTACCCCAAGGCCTGTGGATTGTTAAATGTTGAACTAGTGCTGATCCAGAAAGGGAGGCTGGTGGTTTTCAGCCTCTGTCAGGCCAGGTGAAGAGAGAGCTGGTCAAACCCCAACACTTCCAGCACTCCAGCCCAGGACTGGCTTCACCTGCTGTCAGAACCGAAGGGACAACTTCCAGACCCCACTTCACCAAGAATCAGACAGAATTACCACTTTGGAGCAGAAAGAACAATGCCCCTGATTACAACATTCCCAGTTGATGTTGTTTGACAAATTCCAGGGGCCCCTTGAGTGGCTGGTGGCCCAAATCTACTCAGACCTTCAAGCCAGAACCTGGAGTCTCCTGGCGCCTCTGTCCCCGCCTCCTCGCTCCTTAATTGCTCCTGATTCACCTGCCGCAAAGTTCCTCCTCTGCTCAGTCCTCCCCTCACACCTCCTCCATGTCAGCCCTGGCCACAGGGCTGCGCCCAGGGACAGTGCGGGGGAACCCCTGTGGGAATTAGGGCACCCCAGTGTGATTTCCTCCTCCTGGTCCTGGGACAGGGCCACCATCTGCAGTGCTCTCACGCCTCCCCCGCTGAAACGCCAGTGGGTCTCCCCATTTACGTGAAGGGAGCCCCAAACTCTGGCCGCTCACATTCCACTCTCATGATTTCTCCCATACCCGCCCACCTATTTATCCTATGATTCACTTGGAAGTTTAAGTTGACTAATTTAACATTTATTTTGAAAGGAAGCTTTACACTGTAGCCTTGATATTATACACCAATTATAAGTTATGCAGCACACATGAAAATGCACTGAGATCCACTTAACTAATAATACATGCTTGTCGGTGCATCAGTGAATGACCTTGTGTGCCTTCCTGGTGTGAATACACTCAGGGAAGCCTTGGCCTCTAAAAACAACATGCAGCATCCTGACCTGACCTGGCAGCGCTGCCTTTTCTGGACCCAGTGAACTCTCCAGGCTCAGCTGGTGTCTTGTATTGTCTGTAATTCCTGACCACTTGGCTTTACACCTTCATCCGTAACTCTGCACAGTAATGCTGCCTGAGTGCCTTCTGGCAGCTCCTGAGGTTAGAACTCACGTCTTTCTGAGTCTCTGTCCTTAGTTGATGCCACTGCCTCTTGGGCTGCTAAGTCAATTCTGTGCTGGCAGCAGTCACTTACTTGCTGTTATCCTCACACACCCGTTGGACTGTGAGGGAAGGAACCTGGTCCTTTCTTTCTAAGTTTCCCCTTTTCAATCTCCTAGTGCAGTTCCTGGCAGAGCTGCCCCTTGAACTGTGCGGGCCCGCTAATATGCAGATTTTTTTCAGTAAATACTGTACAGTCTGCCTATTGTCTCTGAGGGTTTCACATTCGCAGATTCAACCAGTATTGGGTCAAAAACAGAATTTTGCATTCCCAACCATGGTTTCCCGCCTCGGATTCTGGCAGACTGCAACCCTGGGTGACTCTGTGGATGTGAAGGGCCTGTGCGGGGGTTTGGTGTCTTTAACTGCAAAACAGTTGAGGGGTCAGATGTACATGGTAGGTAGTCAATAAGTATTTGCAATATTTTATTTATTTATTTATTAAAATATATTTTATTGATTTTTTTACAGAGAGGAAGAGCGAGGGATAGAGAGTTAGAAACATCAGTGAGAGAGAATCATCGATCAGCTGCCTCTTGCACACCTCCCACTGGGGATGTGCCTGCAACCAAGGTACATGCCCTTGACCGGAATTGAACCCGGAACCTTTCAGTCTGCAGGCCGATGCTCTATCCACTGAGCCAAACCAGTTTCTGCAGTATTTGCAATATTTTAATTGGTTTTGAATGCCATGTTCTTGGAAAAGCAGAGCAACCTTTATAATGATTTCTGATGAGATCATTATAAAAGCATCACATAAAGACATGCAATGCATCACCAAGTCTTCCGGGTTCTCCTTCCAAAGTATATCCTGTCTATTTCTATCTCCACGGCTGCTCCCCAAACTACGTCACATCCACCTGAGCCAGGCAATGGTCCCCCCTCTTCCACTCCTGCCCCAAACTCCATTCACTTCACAGCAGTGACATTGTAACTGGGTAAATTGTAGCATTAACACACTCATTCTAAATAAGGATGTAAAACTAGGGAGGGTTTTAGGCAGGTGAGTGACAAGGTTATATTTCTACTTAAGATGACCCAGTGGCCATGGTGGCGAATGTGCTGTGTTGATGGGAGGGGCAGGAGAAGCAGAGAGCCAGCCAGGAGAGAATGACAGTGTGCAGATGAGAGGGGGTGGGCCGGACCCAGGCTGAGGCTGTGGGGATGGTTGGATGGCTGTTCGTCACCCTGAAGCCAACTCTGTCAGCTCTGTATTATGTGGACCATATTGCTGTCCTGGATAAAGCTCTCAACCCTCTTGAAGTAATAGATTATCATATCCATGCAGAAACGAAGTCTGGGCCAGGGAGGGTTATTATCTGTGCTGGCGAGGAGCCTTCCAGCGCTAGTTCTGCCAGTTACTCTGAAATGCTGGGCAAGCTGCTTAACCTCCCAGTGTTCTCCAAACAGGGCCAGAGGTGTGTGTGGGGATTAAGTGAGGTGATACTTGAGAGGTATAAGTATGAGGCTTGACAGAAAGTAGATGCCCAATAAAAGCTGACTTATGATAAAACTAGAGGCCTGGTGCACAGAATTCATGCACTGGGGGTGGGGGAGGAGTATTCATCAGCCCAGCCTGTACCTTCTCCAATCTGGGACACCTTGAGGAATGTGTGATTGCCCATTTAGGCCCAATCCTAAATGGGCAGTTGGACATCCCTCTCACAATCCAACACTGCTAACTCCTAATTGCTCACCTGCCTGCCTTCCTAATTGCCCCTAACCTCTTCTGCCTGCCAGCCTGATCACCCTCTAACCACTCTCATGCCAGCCTGATTGATGCCTAACTGCTCCCCTGCTGGTTTGATTGCTCCTAACAGCCCTCCCCTGCAGGCCTGGTCACCCCTAACTGTCTCCCCTACACACCTGGATGTTCTCCCCTTTCCCCCAATTGCCTTTCCCTGAAGGCCTGGTTGTCCCTAAATTCCCTCCTCTGCCAGCCTGGTCACCCCTAACTGCCCTCCCCTGCAGGCTTGATTGCCCCCAATTGCCCACTCTTGCAGGCCTGGTCCCTCCCAATTGTCCTCCCCTGCTGGCCATCTTGTGGGGGCCATCTTGTGTCCACATGGGGCAGCCATCTTTGACCACATGAGGGCAGCCATCTTGTATGTTGGAGTGATGGTCAATTTGCACATCACTCTTTCATTAGATAGGATAGAGGCCTGGTGCATGGGTGGGGGGCAGTTGGTTTGCTCTGAAGGGTATAACAGGCATGTAGCAGAATCTTGATAATGTTAGGCATTGCTGTTGAGTGTTGTTATTCTTGTTGCTACTAGTGGTAGTAGAAAGAGTCTGTAACTACCAACTCCTTTGGATCCTTTATTTTAATGTATGTTTTGCTTCCAGGCACATATCTGTTGGGAAATAGGGTGAAGTGCACGCGTCTGGGTTTAGGTCTTCAGGTCACATTTTGCATCATGATTCTAATGAATCCTGTCTTGTAGCATTTCGGTAAATCCCATGCCATTGGGCCACTGCCATCCCTGCCATTCCCTGTGGCATTTTAGCTCAATGAGAGTCCGGAGTGAACTACAAAGGACCAGGAAGCCCAGCTGGTGTGGTTCAGTGGTAGAGCATCAACCCAGGAATTAAGAGGTCACCGGTTTGATTCCTGGTCTGGGCACATGCCCAATTTACAGGCTCAATCTCCAGTAGGGGGCAAGCAGGAGGCAGCGATTGATATTTTTCTCTTATAGATGTTTCCATCTCTCTCTCCCTCTCCTTCTTCCTCTTCCTCTCCCTCTCTTACTCCCTAAAATCAATAAAAACATCTTTAAAAAAAAAAAAAAGAGAGAGAGAGAGAGATGAGGAGGGTGCACTTGGGTTCAACTTAAGTCCCAGGAATCCCAGTCAAATGCATGGAAGACACCCTGGCCTCGAGGGAATAAAAAAAATGGGACAGTGTCCTTCATGTGGTGTTTGTGACTGTAAGTAAAGTAGGACCTCAGCTGTTTATTAAGCACCTACTGTGCTTAGCACTAATGTGCACATGATGGGTATCCACGGGGAAAATGTTTTATTGTGTATCTTCCGTTAAGATGCCGGAAAATGGGCAGCCAGGAGCTAGAGTGACGGACAAGCCCAGAAATGGGGGTTGGTGCTGGCCTGTTCCAGGTGCAGAGGGAGGCACTTGTTTTCTCTGGGCAAAATCTTTCCCCCCCAGAAATTCTTCATGACAATTTTTCCTAAGAAGAGCAGTCACAGTGAGACAAAAACCATGATTCCTACCAAAAGGCCTCCCTCCCCTCCCTGGGGAGTGAGAAAGAACAGGGGTCGGGATAGGGGGGCTGGGACTCCAGTGTCTCAGTCTTCTTGTATTATAGCAGCCTAGCAGGACCTGTGGCTGAGGAAAGGTGCAAAGCATAGGTGAATGCAAACAACACCAATGGTAACAAACACCACGAACTCCCGAACTCCACTGTAGCTGTAGCTCTCACCTTACATCAAATGCTTGACATTTATGAACTCATTTAAACCTCACAATAACCCTCGGGGCCAGCGCTATCATTACCTCCATCTCATGCTGAGCAAAATGAGGTCCAGAGAGGTTAAGGAACTTGCCCTCAGCTAGTAAGTGGTAGTGCCAAAGATTACAGTTTAGGCAATTGACCTAATTGGCCTTTCTATATACTAATATAATAAAAAGATAAAATGGAATAATAAAGGTATTCAATTAATTCAAAAGAAGCAAGAAAAAGTGAAAAAAGGAAACCTATCAGATGGAACAAACAAGAAACAACTAGCAAGATGACAAGTAGCAATTTAACTTATACCAACCATTTCAATTATAAATATAAATAGGCTTAATAAATACTCTCATTAAAAGACAGAGCTACAGCCTGGCTGGTGTTGCTCAGTGTTTGAGCCTTGACCCATGAATCAGGGGGTTATGGTTAGATTCCCAGTCAAGGCACATACTAGGTTTCAGGCTCAATCCCTGATGAGGGCATGCAAGAGGCAGCCAATCATTGATTCTCTCTCATCATTGATGTTTCTATCTCCCTCTCCCTCTCCCTTCCTCTCTGAAATCAATAAATAAAAAATTATTTTTTAAAAAGGACTTGTTAAAACATAAAAGGAAAATCAGTATTGTTGTGAATTACTCCAGGTTGATGGACATGGTTCATTGAATTTAAGTTTCAGGTTTGTAGTGAAGGTTGTACTGAAACTATTCTAGACCTGGCTCTGAGGCTTACTCTGACTTGGGCAAGTCTTTTCCTTATTTTTAAAATGTGGATTCTAAGCCTCAGTTTCCTTCTTTGTAAAATGGGAGCTCATTCATTCACTTATTTATGCAACAAATAATGTATTGGACTTTTATTTCATGTCAGGGTCTATAGTTGCTTCCTTGAACAAAGGAGACAAATGTCCCTAATGATAAGGAACTCATATCTAGTGTGGAAGACAGACAACAAACGAATAAAGAAGGTTATGATATGTGAGATGTTGATAAGTGCCCTAGTAAACGTAAAGCAGAGTAAGAAAGAGAGGGAGGACACAGGTGGGCCAGGAAAGGCATTCTGATGAGGGGCAGAGACGTGCAGAAACCAAGGTGAGCCACATAGACATCTGCATAGGGGAGAAGGAGCGCTCACTGCAGAGGGAACAGTGGGGGGAAGGGCTCTGGGATGGGGGTCCACTTGGAGTCTTTGGGAAGAGCAAGGAGGCCAGTATGTCTGGAGCAGTGATCAAGGTCAGAGAGGTAATGAAGTCCTTATCAAACAGGGCCCTGTAGCCATGGTAACAGCATTGACTTTTACTCTGAATGAGTTGGGGAATCAGTGGGGGTTTCTCCAGCCCTTGAGTGATGGGATCTGACTTGTGTTTTACAAAAGAATTATTCTACATAGACTACAGGGAGGCAAGACCCCAGGGGAACTGTCTAGAGGCAAGTGCAAACAAGTGGGGGGAAAAGTCCTAGAGGCTTGGATTCGAATGGTGATGTGGAGATGGTGATGAGAGGCTGAGCTCTGGATTCACTCTGGAGGTGGAGTGAGGAGAATTGGATGATGGATGAGATGAGGGGTGAGAGAGGAAGAGAGACCAAGATGACTCCAAGGACCTTAGTCTGAGTAACTGGGTGAAGAAAGAGGCCGTTTATTAAGATGGGAGGATAATAATACCTAATCCTTGTGAGGCTGTCTCAGGGATGAAATGGGATCATGTAACTGAATGCACTTCCTGAGCTTAAAACACTACGTGGATGTAAAAGATAATGATTAGAAAGCCACGGAGGCGTTGCTAAGTCTCAAATATGCCCAGGTACCAATGTCTTAAGGCCAAAAGGCAGCGATGGTGTTCTTACTGAAATTTTTCTATTCAATAAAGAAAGTTATTCTGAATGGGCCAGGGGCTCATTCAACGAACCACAGTCCACCAACCAGGAGTAATTCTGAGTTTCCTTTTATGTTTCAATACACAGTAAAGTGAATACGACTCATGACTTCAGCCAGGCTTCTTAAAAATTCCTCTCTCTAATCCTCTAAATGGTGACACTGCTTGGATGTTTCTATCACTCTTCCCCACTCAATGGGGCTCAGTAAACCCATTTTAAGTGGGGGGGAAAAAAGTAATTCATAATATTTCCACTTTCCCTGAATCTTCCCTTGTGCAACTTCCCAGGCTGCTCTCCCTGACTCCCCCACGCTGGCTCTGACAATGCTATTTCAAGGTGCCCACTGTTCACTTTTCAGGACTATTCTAGGCCCTCTTGGCATATGTCCTGGCAGGGATGATCTTTAAACGGCAATCCAGTGATATTAAATAGCTATGAAACAGGTCAGAGTGAGCTACATATTTCTTCTTTCATCTATAGGATCAAGGTATCTGAAATACGTTAATAATTTTACAAATACATCAACAGAAAAGTTCCTAAATCCAGATCAGTTAGTTCAATTTCCAACAGAGTCAAGGGGAAAAAAATGTGGGAACTTGTCCAATGGGGAAAATCATACCTATGCCAAGTGTTTGCTCTGGGGATGACATGAGGGAGTATTTGTGAAACTCCTGGTATGGGGCTCCCACAGCCCAAGATGTGGTCCCTTTAAGGAAGTTTTTAAAGAGCAGTTTTGAGGACAGAGATTCATTCATATTTTTTGCTTCTCTCTTTGGTCTGCCCTTCCCTCCTCACTTCTCTCTCTCTGACTCCCTCTGTGAGCCAGGATTTTGCTAAAGATGCCGAATTCTCCCTGTGCTACTGAAACTCCACAGAATTCTCCAACCATTTGCTTAAAACCTGGATGTGTACTTTGAAGAGGAGAGATACACGGGAGAATTCCCATTCAGCAGTTTGGAATATACACTAAGTGGCCAGATTATTATGATCTCTGTATGCATAATAATCTGGCCACTCGGTATATATATATTAGAGACCTGATGCATGAATTCATGCATGGGTGGGTTTCGACCAGCCTGGCCAGGGGGAGGGGACATGGGCGATTGGCTGGCCTGCTTACTGGTCGAACTCTTGGTCGAGGGGACAGTTTGCATATTAGCCTTTTATTATATAGGATTATTATATATGATATACATTAAGTCTTAGGGTTAGGTTAATAATCTGGCCACTCAGTGTATGCCAAGAATATAAGAAGGAGGAAAAGCTGACTCCATATGAGGTGATTGTTTGAAGGTCACCAATGACAACTGTTCATACCTCCTGTATGTGGTTATTAACGAAGGTACAAGGGAGGGATTCATAGTCTGAGAAATCAAAAGGTGAAGCCAATAAAACCTCTGAAACCGGAATCACCCAGCATGCTTCTAGTGAGGCAGTGGATGTCCTGGGAATCCCTGTCCAGAGGAGAAGGAAATGGTTCTATCTTGACAGGTAGCACCAAGGCAAACACAGTGCGGTGATCCCAAGAACGGAGGAAGCTTATGGCACAGCCTGCCCTCTGCATCCATGGGTTCCGTGTCCTGGGATCCAAACAACTATGACTACTATGTAGTCAGGCCTAGAGGGCTGAGTCTGTACTGAACACGCACAGACCATTTTTCTTGTCATTATTCCTTGAACAATACAGTATGACAACTGTTTACATAGCACTGACATTGTGTTAGAAATTTTAAGTAATCTAGAAACAACTTAAAGTATATGTGAGGATGTGCCAGGCTATATGCAACCCCTCCGCCACTGCATCCATGAGGGGTCCTGGACTCAATCCTCCATGGAGATCTGCAGACAACTGTAAATATGAGAGTATTTTCATAACCTCTCATGGATCCTTTGTATTTCTTTCCAGGTGGTTCTCTGAGGATAAGTTTTTCTATTTAGAAAATATGTTAAGAAATAAATGGAAGCCTGTGCAAAACGGCCCTCCAGAGAAAAAGCACTTACCCAGAATGCTTCATGTTTTGAGGCTTATCCATTCGGACAGCGAGTTTGATTTTGAGGTCTTGATCAGGGCAGTTTTTGGAGACTGTCATTTTGTGCCACTCTGACTGCTTGGGGCTGTTTGGGGTGGGATGGAGAATGACCTGTGGGGATAAAGGACAGCCATCTTAGCCAGGAAATGGAAGCACTGTTATGGGCATATTTTGGTGGATGAGAAACTTTGCTGTGGAGAAGGAGTGTCTTGCCCAGGTTCCATGGCTTGAGGGAAGGGAGCCATTTGAAGCAGCGTCCTGGCCATCAGACTCAGAACCAAGACTTTGCCTCCCAATCACGGCTGCTTCCTGCCAACCAGCCAGGCCTGGGATAGAAATGATGTTCTCTGCTCCCTTCTCCCTCTCCCTGGATAACTCTCTAACAGTAAGGACTGCGGTTTCTGGGATCCTGCTTTCATACTTTTCCAAAGCTCAGAAGTACTAAAGCAAGAGAGAGTTCTCCGCCCACCAACCTCCTCACAAGAAGATGGTGTGAAGGGAAGAAACATCTTCCATCTCAGAGGGCACTGCTGGCCCACCCTTCTCCCTTCCTCTGGGATCCCTCCCACCTTTGCAACAGGAGAATCCCTCAGAGGCGCAGGTAAAGTGGGGGCACCTTATCTGATGGATGGGAAATGTGCCATTTAGAGAGGGGAGGGGCCTGCTGCCAGGCACACGTTTCAACCTATGTCAGCTGCGCTTTCATCTCATCATGGGCCAGCCTACTCTGCCCTGGGGGAAGGGTCGGCCTGAGACAGCTTCTGCAGGGGGTTTCGGGGATGGTGTGCCCTGTGGGGCTTGTGCCTCAGGTCTCCCTGCCTCCGAGTGTGAGTGAAGCTCAGGGATGTCCCTTCTGCACTGTAGATGAACGGGTTCCCAGGAGCCACGTGGGACCTGGGGAGCATATGCTGGGGAGGAGAGGAATTTGGAAAATCCCCTGAACCACGGGGATGGGAACTAAACACAGGACAATAGGAGCTGGGCTGGCTGAGCATTGCCTCTGCACTGGCGGAGTGCTTGGTGGCTGTGGCTTTGCTTTCAAAGCCACTTTCTCCAGGAGTGGGCAGGCCGGCCCCTGACCTGGGCTCCTGTCACCGCTGGAGGAGCTGGGAGGGGCCCTGCAGAGGCCGCAGCGCTGTCATGCCAGCTCAGGCTGGGCCTGGAGGGCAGGGACCCAGGGCTCTCGGACGACTGTGCATCAAGAGCTCCGAGAAGAGGAGGGACCGAGACAGAAAAGGACCATCCGCCCCTTTCACAGGCCTCACTTGTGCTGATTTTTCACCCTCTGACTCCAAGCCTGACTCTCCCTTCTTTTTTCTTTTTCCATTAAATCCCCTCTCTCTGATGAAGGGAAGTGTGTATATTTTTGTTAAAGACAAAATTAGAGTCCTCTCAATGACTTACCATGAAAATAAAAGAAATCCTGATATTTCAGACCACAGGCTGCCAACGTGTTTTTGACCAGGCCCTACATCAGTAAGATAATTTTGAGCAACTAGCCCAATGTCTGTACTGCATCACTACCTATATAAAATATGTCAATAGGAACACAGGCACGCCTCAGAGATATTGCAGGTTTAGGTCCAGGCCACCGCAATAAAGCGAGAGTCACAATAAAGTGAATCACAAGAAGATTTTGGTTTCTTTGTTTATAGAAAAGTTATGTTCACACAATACTGCAGGCTATTACACATAAACAGCATTATGTCTAAAAGCGCTTTTTTTGCTAAAAAATGATAATCATCATCTGAGCCTGTTGGAAAAATTGTGCTGATAGAATAGCTCAGGCTTGCCACAAACCATCAATTTTTAACCACCCTTCCCCCTCCCCCCCAAAAAATGGGAAAATGAGATATGCCTATATATAAATCTCAGTAAAAATATATACCCAAATATATATTTCACATTTACATGGCTACTTTGTGTTAACATTGATTATATATGTCATAGAACACACACAAATATAGACATCTTAAAAGATGGGCTAAAGACAAAAAACTATTGTCTAAGTAAGTGCCTTGCAAATTGTGGTGGCTTTGCTCTATCATGAGCCTTATTTTGCTGTCTATGTTGAAGGCACAGCTGGTTGCTAAGGGTACGGGATGCGAGTCTGCATTGCCCGTAGTCTTGACTGGCATGGGACCTGTGTGATCACTGGCTGCTCTGTCTCGGGTGGCTGACTGGGTGATGGGACTCTGCGAGCAGGCCACCACCGTTTTCCTGCTGTTTGCCAGGCTTGAACATTAGGACTACCTTTAAATCAGAGCCCTTCTGTGGTAATTAACCTCTTTAGGCATTTGTTCATTCTGTGAGGGGTAACTTAGCTAAGATTCAACCATCCAACGTGTAAGTTCACATCACTGGCACCAGTGGACTTGGACTTGCTGGAGGACTCTGGACATAAATGAGTCAGGGTGCCACTGGCAGGCGGTGTGGGGGGCACCACTTCCTGCCCTCAAGAGAACTCTGTCATCTTCTGTACCCCGAGCCCTGAGCCTGGAGGGTGGGGAGGAGGGATGCTGATCCAGTGAGGCTGACCCTCTCTCCTGAGAGGTGAGGCGGGGTGTGTGCAGGGAGTAAGAGGAGAAGCACAACCTAAGCCGGAAGACAGCAGGCCAGGCCTCCCCCCAGGCCTCCTGCCCTCCTGCGCGTTTGGTAAAGTCAGTGGGAGCGGTGCCCTGGGCACCCAAGCAGGCCTCCCGCCATATGGTCCTGGGTGTTTCCCACGGCCAATGTGATGTCCACTTGCCAAAGCAAATGGCCTCAGCTCAGCGCTGGCCTCTCTAAAAAGACTGCTTCCCCAACATGGGGGTCCCCTGAGGGGACCTCCTCTCCAGCGTGGATGGGGAGATGAGGTCACTGCGTTCTCTCTATCTTCATCCCCACCCTCCTGACCGGTTGACGACTCCTCTGTATGTGTCAGCCTTGCTGAGTTATTAGGGTCCTTCTGGGTGCACGTAAGCCCGGCGCAGCCCAGACACCTCATCTGGACATTCCAGGCTGCTAATCAAGCACTCCGTCATCCCAGCCACAGCCATGTGTGCTGCGCTTTGATGTGGTGATGCTGATGTGGGAACACGACCGGCCCCGTGCAGGAGCGGTGAGCTGCACGCCAGCCAGCCCCGCTTCTCCTGGGAGCCAGGGCACCCAGGCAGCCCTCCCAGGGGACTGTTTCACCCTGACACCCCTCCCTACCTCTGTAGTCCCTTGGCTGGAAGGCAACCCCACCCCTCAGACTGGACTGTGTGCCCTGGCTATGTGCTCATGCACACTGCGCTCTAAGTCCTAGCTTTTATGTCCATAGCCTTTACGGTTTTTGAGGTGAAGTTTTTGCCTGCCATCATGCCTGTTTGCTCTGTGCATAGCACAGAGGACAGGACACATGGGCCCACAGTCATTTTTGATGTATAAAAATTGGATGGTTTTGGAGTATGGGCATGGGTTTGAGGAAATAGTCATTCCGGTGCCTTTTGTAGAAGTACTAATTGGCATATATGTCTCCTCAGGGGACAATTTGGTAGGACATGTCAAAATTCAAATTTCATTCAGCAAAATATTTTTTGACATTTATCCTATACAGATACATACATATGTACCAGAAAATAAATTGAAGATTATTTACTGGAGCCTTGTACATATAGCCAAAGACTGAAAACAACCTAAATAAATTCTGATGCATCCACACAATGGAATACTATGCAGCTATGAAAAAGGAGGGAAGTCAATTTGGCCGATATGGACTAATCTCCAAATATACTGATAATTCCAGCAAAGTGCAGAGCAGTATGTACAATAATTTTCTAGTGTGCACTCCTTTTTAAAGAAGGATATATACACATATGCCTATATATTCTATGCTTGTGCGTGCATAGACTATTTGGGGAAGAATAAACAATAAACTGAAAACAAGGCTCTTTGGGAAACGATAATAGAGTGAGGTGGAAGGGATCCATCCTTTCACTACATGTCTGTTTAATACTTTTACAGCATGCACAGCTTTTTTTTTTTTTTTCATTATTAGAAAGGTTAATAAAAACGAAACATAATAAAGATGAAGCAGATTACTGCTGTGGGATGAATGAAGGTAGAACCGGGATTTTGAACGTGGCTATGTCCTGCTCCGCGTGGGAAGAACAGCATAGAAACACTTTCCAGAGTGTTCCAAGGAACTTGGCATTGAAAAAGAGCACTTAATAGTCACAGCTGCGGCCTGTGACATGCCACCAGCAGAGGGCGCCCCAGCTGGCACGAGGGCCTGCAGGCCAGCGCCAGGGCAACTGGCAGGAACAAGTGTAAACTAGCATCTGGGGGAATATGTAACGACTTACTAAGAAAAGAACGGCTGTGTGGGGGCTGTGGTAAGGTCATGGCCACAGAGCTGGGGGCTGTGTTTTTGCTGAGGATGCTGTGGTGGAGTAAAAGTGGCCCTGCGGGTGACGCAACATCCCTCCTGGTGAACTACCGCCTCCGGCCAAGCATGCCCATCAGTACAGGAGGGATATCTGCAGCTGCCTCATCAGGACCGTGGTGGAGGGGGGATGAGGGGCTGGACATTAAGGGCTTAGGACAGCACTGGCCAGCACTGCCTGGGCCCCAGCAAACTGGGGGGCTCTGGGCAAGCTTCCTGCCTCTTCAGGAATCAGTTTCTCATCTACGAAATGAAAGGCTTTGACTAGCTCAGTGGTTTCAACTTTTCTGAGTGGGAACAGCTTTGAGAAGCTGGTGAAAGCTTTGAACTAGTGAGCCCAGAAAAATGCACATATTCTAGTCTTCCCCACCCCCACACACACACACACCCCCACACACACTTTTTGCAGACAATTTCCAGGGGCTCCCGGGTCCCCTGGAATCCTCCTGGACTCAGGTTGAGTGTTTCTGGGCTTGTCTCTTCTGACACGAATATTCTAGTTCTCTGAGACTCATGATTCTTGACACGATTCTTCATGGAAAAGGAAGTTTGCAGAAAAATGAAAGGCAGGCTACGTCCCCATCTGTGGGCCTCCCTCTAGGGGCAGAAATGGATACTTGTCATTTCTTAAAGAAAACACTAAGCGTCTTCTTTTCTTTCATCCCCCTCCTTTTTAGGGGAGGGAAGCACCCTTTTTGCTATTAGCTTTGCTTGCGTTGTATTTTAGTTCCATCTGTGGCGCGGGTCCCAGTAATCTGACTCCAGGTCAGGTCTACAGATGAAAGGCAGAAAAGGAAGTGAGAAGACAAAGGAAGAAAGAAGAAAGCGTGGGTAATGTGTTCTTGCTGGCTTTGTGAGGTGCGCACACCCATGTGCCTATCTCGGGGTATTCTCTTATTCTCTAAATAAAATATCAGAGGCCCAGAGAGGTTAGAAGTCTTGGCTGAAGTCACACAGCTCTCAGAGGGATCACACATTCAGCCAGTGGGAAATGGAATCTATTGAGAGTCTGTGTGCTGGGCTCTGGGAATGGGGTGGCGGACAAAATAGTTTAGGTTTCTGTCCCCATGGAGCTTTCACAGCCTGGTGGGGAGGACGGAGGTAAACATTTCTGTAAATCCTTCCTCTCTTCCTCTCAATGGTGATAGATTCAGTGGAGGATGTGAACAGGGGCTGCGGGAGCAATTCAAGGAGGATGGACAGTCAGCAAAGGTTCTCTCAGGAGGGAGGAGGGTCATGTATAAAGAGACTGCCTTTCGAAGACTTGGGAGGTGGGGCCAGGGCTCCAGGCAGAGAAAAAGGCCCCTGAGGTGGGAAAGAATTTGGTTTATTTGAGGGACTCAAATTTGGCTTAGGATGCTGGGGCTCGGTGGCAGCAAAGGCCTGAGGAGGTGGGCAGAAGTCTGATCAATGATCACCCGAGCCTCTGTAGGCTGCACTTCAGAGCTCAGATTTGATTCTATGCAGTGTGGGGTGAAGGAAGCATTTCAAGAGAATTCACTTCCGGTCCAAAAATACCACTGGCTTTTTGGGGCAATCTCCAGAGCTGAGATGCAAAAAGAAATGTCTTATTATCTCAGTAGTACTCAAAGGGAGTGGTACCATCCACCAGTTATTTAACAAATTGGGAGGGAGGACTTTTTTGGTTGAAGAAGAATTGGTGCTAAGCTCTGTTGGTATTGCATGGTGGGCCCCAGGGAAAATAAACATCTGGGAAAGGAGTGAGACAATCCTTTCCAACAGGGAATTGTCCCTCATCCCACCTGATTTTTGAGTATTCCCACCGACTATAGACGGAGGTGGGAAAACCTGGATCCAGGTCCTAAAAAACTTGTTACACGTGCACTCAAAGTACTCCTAGCACTTTCCAGAGAAATAAAAGCAATGTTGTAACCAACACGTGCTTATAGATTCGGTAGGTCTGTTCACTGGTGCTCAGCTTTGGGGTCGCCATCCTCCACAGCGGATTTGCAGCTGCCCCGTCACCGCGAGTCTCCTCATCGGACCCCTGCTTGAGGTCTAAGGCAGTCGTGCTGGAGCTTCACATTTTGAAATTACATTAATATTGAGTCATTGCCTTCCATTCTCCCTTTGTGTGATGTTGTGTTGATTTAAAGATTGTTAGGCGGGTCAGTTTGTTAAATCACCTATGACTTTCACTCCAGGATAGTGAAGGGCAGGGAGCACTTTGGCCAAAGGGGGTTTGGGTTGGAAGGCTGGAGGACCCTGCTTGGTATTCGGTCTTGGGCAGTGCACACTGTGATGACCAGATCGGGGGGGTGGGGAAACTGAGGCTGGGAGAGGTTGAAGCACTTGCTTGCTCAAGGTTGCACAGTCCATGCAGAGAGGACCCCGGGATATGAATGGCAAAACCAGTCCTTCATCTCTTGGCAATGCTGTCTCAGGGGAACCCGAGACACCCGCTCTCTGGAGCAACTTGCGTGCACACGAGCTGTGAGGGGAGCACTTACCCGCCCCAGCTCCTTGTCCTCCAAGGCCAGGACGCCGGTGCTCTCTGTGAACAGCTTCACCTTCACAGCAGGCAGTGCGTGGGTCGTGGAGAAGTCGCCCTGGGTGCCCCAGCTGTGGACAGAATGGGAGAGGTCAGTGTGGAGAGCTCTGCCTAGATGATGCTAAATTCAGCTGCCTTCTGCTTGGATCGGGTGAGTGCAGGGTTAACGGAGGCGGTGCTGGCTGTCACATCCTCCTCCCCTCCCCTCCAAAGCTGCCAGAGTGACAAAAAGTGTTAATTAACTTGTTAGGCGAATGCAAGACATGCTCAGAAAGTTGCCAAGGGTCTTCACAGAGCACTGGGAGGAATCAGGAGGAGTTCGCATGAAATCAAGTGGTGAGGACGTTCCCCCATGCTCTTACTACACCTACACATATTCCCAGGTAACCACTAAGGAACATGTCCTCGCATCCTCGGAGTCCTTGGTTCTGAGAAGCTGCAGTTCCAGAGTTTGAGATGGGGCTTCATTTGGTCTGAGCCAACACCTGCCTTTGAAAAGAGACTTCAGTAGGAGTGGGAAGTGGGTGTGAGGAGCCTCCTTTCTCTTGGCTTTCAAAGGTGAGTGGGAGAGAAGAGTGGATAGAGCTCAGCCTGTCATGAAAGATGGAAGGAGGGATGTGGGAAAGCCCCTTTCTCATTCATGGTCTGTGGGCATCTGAGTCTCCGACCACCCCAGAGGGAAGCCTGGCTTGCCTGGCACAGGGTAGAGTGCCAGGCGGGGCTGATGTGAGCCCCTGATGGGCCCCTCAGATGGGGCCTCTCCGTTCACTCATCACTGTTCCTACTTGATATTACAGGGCTATGTCCACCCACTCTGAACCTGGAATCAGCGTGACCTTCTGGAAGTGTCCCTGCATTGAGGGAGTCTCTGCCCTACACCCTCCCATGGTAACTGCTCCAAGGCACACCAGATGCCATCCAGACCCCTTGGCATGGTCTCCCATTCACCAGCTGTGGTGCCATGGGCATTCTGTCGGGGCCACATGGGGGCTGTTCCCTTTGCTGGCAGTTCCTTCCCACTGCTCTCCTTTTGGTTCTCTCTTATGTCCGCTTAGACACCCTTTCCCAGAGATCATGGCGTAACTTCCAGTGTTAAACTCTCTTACTTAATTAATAATAAAACATGTTATTTAATTTCCTGTCCTGGCAATCACTGGATTTTTAACTGTTGATTTGTATGATTGTTTCATAGCTGAATCCCCTATTATTCTGTAAGTCCCGTAAGCACAGAGACTGTGTTTAATTTATATTGATAACTAGTGCTTAGCACCTAGAATGCACTTAATGAGTTTTGTCTAAATGATGCCAAATATATCTTCTTTTATAAAGCTATGAATCAGGAAGAGATAAAACTTTATATAGAGGCATTTCTTCATTTTGCCTTCTCTGGTGGCCAATTTCCATATTGTAAAATATTCATTAGCTATTCTTTTTAATCACTCTCTCATACTGTAACTTATGGATACATGATAATTTATTTAATCATTGTTCTGTTGTTGAGACTGGGATAGACATTACTTTTTTATTTCTTCTCTGATCATTTCCTTGGGATAGAGACCAGGTGGGAGATAATTCCTTTATGTGTCCATAAACATGAATACTGTCAAGGCTTGAGACACCTATTCCCACAATGCTTTCCATAAAGGTGGGACTGTCCTTCTACCACCTGGGAATGAGAGTGCACATCACAGGGTGTCTTGCCCATCATTGGATGTCCTTCGTCACTTTTTCTTTTTCTGGCTTATTTTGTCATTATCATTTTCATGGGCATTTTTTGACTAACACAGCAAGCTTGACTATTTTTTTCTGTTCTTTGGTTGCATTTTTTTTTGTAAGTGATAGAAATCTGACTTCTAATCTCACTGTTGCACTCAAAATAAATTCAAAGTCCTGAGGGCTCTAGAGAGAGTTGGAAAGATAGCACCAGAACAATGGGGCAAGAACTATGAGGAAACAACAGCCACAATAGAGAAAGGAAGAGGACACAGACAAGGGCATGAGCAGAACAAGAAGTCACAGGTTTCAACTCAACAGCAGAATGTTCAGTGAATAGTCTTAAGTTTGATTGCTAGCACTGCAGCAAGTCCCAAGATAGGGCAATCTTTGTCCCAGCAAAGGCGATGTGCCAAGGCATAGCATTTTGAACCAGACATCCCTAGTTCAAATCCCAGTTAATCACTTATAAACTGTAGGACTTGAGGCAAACTAATTAATGTTTCTTTCTCTCATTTGCTCAGCAATAAAATAACCTCATTTCGTAGAGAAAATAGTAGCAGGCTTGGAACAGGATGAGAACACAACACATTTTGGCTGCCTTCCCTTCTCCAAATAAGGATATGTCAGAAATATTCTTCTAAGGGTGATGATCACTCATATGTTGTGCTATCTACAAAACACATATCTAGAAACCTCCTTAACTAAGTCTGTCCCTTTGCTGAGCAAGCAAGACAGACACTGTCCTTCCTACTACACAAGGTAAGTAGTAAGACTGCTAGTATCGTCCCTATTTCAGAATTAAAAAAAAATAATAATAACACAGTAGAAACTCAAGATCTTGTGTATCTATGTCAATGAATTGCAACTAAGTTGGCCTAGAACACAAATCTCTTAATTCTTAATTTACAGCTCTTGCTTCTATTATTGTCATGATTATCAACAACAAGAACTATTAATGACTAGAGGCCTGGTGCACAAAATTCGTGCACAGGTAGGTTCCCTAGGTTGGGTCGGCGATCAGGGCTGATCTGTGGGGTGACCCGGTGGGGTGATTGGGCCCCTGCTCACACCTGCCTTGGCTAGCCTGGTGCTGCCTGCTTGCAGGCCTTGCCCCCTGCCACCACAGATCAGGGCCTACGGGCTGTGGGCTGTGCCTGCATTGAGCATCTGCCCTCTGGTGGTCAGTGCACCAGTTGTTCCACTGTTTGGTTTATTTGCATATTTGGGTTTTATATAGATAGTTTAGCAAATAGGCAAAAACATGAGCATTAAATTATTATTTATGATTCATTATGCTAATAATCTCTTTGAGCATTTACATTTATCATGGTTAGATATAGGGATGAGGAAGATTCCTGCTGGAAACCAGGACAGTTCTGGAATGAGATGCTTTCACACTGAGCCACCAAGAGCCCTGATCCCAGTGCCTGGGGCTCCTCACACTGCATCCCCAGGAGGCTGTACCTGGACCTGGTTTGCGGAATTTGGTGGCCTGCTCAGCAGGCACTAGCCCAGTCTGCTTAACCTCAATACTACCCAATAATGTTCAGTTCACAAGGCATTCATGGAGCAGGGTGAGGCCTCCAAGACACCCAGTCAGCTGGAAGGATGTCACGCTGCTGGAGGCCACCCTGACTGCCCCTGGCCATTGGACATTGAGCTGCTTTCCCTTCTCACCAGGCCTGCAGCTGTGCTTTCGGCTTCCTACCCTGACCCTCGGCTCACCTCAAGTTGTTAGGTCACTACTGAACCCCCCTTTGTCCATCGGATTTCAAAATGGTAACCTGACCCTGTGCAGCAGGCAAGAAGAGAAAGTCTCCAATCAGAACTGGCTACATTTCCAGGACCCAGTGCAAAATTAAAGTGAGAGGCTCCTAATTCAAAAAGCATGAAAAAAGTGCCATTCAAGGTACCAAGATGTGCAGCATTTTTCTTTCTCTGAGTATTTCCTTTGCCCAAATGCATGTCCCATTGTTTCATCAAACTTCACTTACAAACACAAGTCTAGAGATGAAATTAAGAATTTCAAGATGGCAAAACAGAACATTTCACCCAACACAGGTCCTGAGTGTGGGACCTGTGAAGCTACACAGACCTAAGCCCACGAGTCCTGTGCTCTCCGGTTTGTCCCGCCCGGACTGAGGAGGGATAGCTGGGAGGTGTTCCGCATGGACCAGGGGAGGGGGCAACAGTGGGAGGCTGTTCTGTGTGGAAAGGAGGGACTGGCTGCCACGGGAGTGACAGCCCCCTAGCTACAGATGACAAACGGAGGCTCAGCGAGGCTAGCAAAGAGCCACAGGCAGGGCAGTCTTACCTTGCCTCCATACTGCCTTCCTCACACCTCCCCCCATTCACTGCCCTGTGGCTTGATCTGTTTAATCTGTGAACTCAATGGGAGAATTTCATTTCAAGATCAACTGGACCGGGCTGCTCCAGCCTCTCAGTTTGCATTTGTTCACATGTTCAGCACACGTCACAGAGTGCGACATTCCTGCAGCCAAATGAGCTGGTTCGGGAAGTGGCAACCAGCCTGCAGGGCCAGAGTAGATCAGTGAATCTCGGTCTCATTGTGCCGTCCCTCTCCGCTCATTTCTTTCCCTTTGCTATGCACAGACTGGTTATTAAGATGAATACCTCTTCTTCAAAGTTCCCCAAACTGAAATTAAATTAGACTTTGAAGAGGCTGATGGTTGGGAAGGTTAACTGACTGACTTCTCTCTGAACACAGGCAGACCAAGGACAGTGGGTGAGGGGATCCCCTGCTGTAACCCCATCTTGTCTACCACTGAACTCATACAGTACCGCTAGCTGGCAAAAATGCTAAAAATAGTCACTAATTACTGGGTGCTTATGATTTGCCAGGACCTAGGCTGGTAGTTAGTGATAGATTATCTTATTTAATCCTCTGACAGCTCCGTGAGATCTGTTCCGTTATGATCTCCACTTTATACAAGGAGAACTAGGCTTCGAAGAGTTAAGTAACTGGGTCAGGGCTTCATGCTATCTCGGTGCTGGGATTCAACCTCCAAAGCCCATGCATGGAACCCCAGAGCTTACTGCCTCCCCATAACACAGCTCAGCTTAGAGTGAGTAAGAGTGTGTATCTGGCTCTCTCTTTAGAGACAGAACACCTTGGGGGCAGGGAGCATAGCATGATTTTTTAAAATGTCCTACACTCAACACAGGACCTGGCATTCAATAAGCATTTATTTAAGGAAGAAGTGACATTTGCAGAATAACTGTGTCACCAAATTCAGGAGATTCTGGAAAGAAGTGACACATGAGATAAGCACGGGTGTGACTGCTTCTTTTGAACCAGGGCTTTATCTCTCCCTGAGGATTTGTGGTTTCTTAG